TACCTCGTAAGAGAAGTCAACATGCCCTGGAGTATCAATTAGATTTAAGCAATATGGTTCATTTTCAAACACGTACCGCATTCGAGCTGCCTGCCATGATCAAGTCTAGTTAAATGCTTTCTCTAACATTGCATAGAGGTGACGTTATCGAAACATGAAATCAAAAGTACATTTTACCAATTTCCCGGATCAAGTAAAGAAATAAACCCCAACTCCTAAAGATTGTAGCTCATGAGAGATTACAAAACTCGGCTAATTGAGAAACTGTAAGCTATTTTCTTTTCCTATCATTCACATATGCCACTTTTCTAGTGACGGACCTTACGGTGAGACCAGATTAAGAGGCTCGGTGAATGCACACTTTAACGAAAACAGCCACGCACGAGATACATATTTTTGCATCTCAATATATAAAGTAGACTAGAAGAAACTTTAATATTAGAAAATGCAAGAGTGCTGCTTAAATGTGACACAAAGAGGATAAGGTAATAAAAGGTGAACCTGCAGCTTAATTGTGATGCCTCTTTCTCTCTCTAAATCCATGTTATCAAGAAACTGATCCTTCATTTCTCGCTGTTGGACAGTACCAGTCACTTGAAGCAATTTATCAGCTAATGTTGATTTCCCATGGTCAATATGAGCAATGATGCTGAAATTCCTTATATTAGAGATAGGAACCTGGAAATGGAAAAACAAAATCCAAGATAAGAACATTTCACTGACAATTTTATTCAAACTAAAAAGTCCACCTCAAACCTTAGACAGACGGTCCTGGCCAACTTTGGCGGCAAATTCGAGGTCGTAGGCGCCACCAGCAACCTGGCAGCACACTCTGAACCTATTGACGCGAAAAGTGGCGGAGAAGGAAGCATGTTTGGAGAGAGAAGAAGAGAAGGAAGCTTCGAGGGGAACGAGAGAGAGTGAAGATGAGAACTGTAATCTGCTAGTGGTTCTTAGAGTTCTGGCTCGTCTTGCTTGCCGTTGTTGATGGTGGTGCAACTGAGCTTCACCGGATAAGAGCAGGGAGCCACAACAAACTTCTGCGGCCATTCTTTTTGAGTCCACGTATTTTGTGTTTGCTTTTTAATTGCGAGGTTGGTGGGGCCCCTGCGATTTGAAGTGGACCCACTTCAACGACCCAGGTTCAAACGGTGTCCTTTCGCATGACGCTGAAGCCCAGTTTAGTTTTGGTTATTTCATTGAGGCCCAATTTAGCTTCCAAAGCAAACTGTGCTGGAGGATTTTTTTTTCCAATTATTTTTAATTTATTGTTGCATTTTTTTTTTCAAATTATAAGGGTGGATGCTAACAACAATTATAAGTGGAATTAAAATGGGAACTCCTACTAATGGAAAATTTTTCATGCCGCTAAATGACTCATTGCATCTATTTTAAAACAAATCGTCTTGTAGTATGACAAAAATAAATGTTTGGATCTAACATTTTTCTGGTCAAAGAGTCTCTCCACTACTCTTTCTTTTCATTTCCAAACACTTCCCATGTCAATCATTAAGATTGAAAGTTTAATGGTCTAGATTTCATGTTTTTGAAATAATTTTATAAAGTATTTTTTATTATTGTTTTGAATTATATTGACTAAAATTTAGTAGTTTTGCTTATTTATTTTTGAAAACTTAACATTTTATTAATAATTTTATAATTATGAAATCTAAACCGTTAAAATCTCAATTTTATAGCTAAGATGAGAAGTGGATGAAAATGGAGGGAAAAGAGGGTGGAGACACCCCTTGCCCCATTTTTCTTACAGATTATTTCTCCCTTCATTAATAAAACATACAAAACATTGCTTCTGGTTTTTTAATATAAGATATGCTCAAATTAGTTATTTGTCACAAATTTATGTTGATTTTTCTAAAATACTCTCTTAGATCATTTCCATCTAAACTTTCATTTAATGTAAATTTCATGCAATTAATAGGGATGGGTTAAAAAAATGATAAGTGTGAGAGACAAAGTAAACTAAGATCATATACTTATGATCAAAGTCAATTTTTCAATTAATTTTTACATTAAGTACCAGAGAATAAATCAGTTTTTTTATGATTCAATAAATCTCATAAAAAAAAGGTCATTGCTAGTAGGGGTATGCATGGACCAAACTAGACCGGGTTTGTTATCAGCCTAAAGTCTGGTCCAGTAAAGATCTCAGGCTAAAAAAAAACAACCCGAGGTCTGATCCAGTCCAGTACCAACCTGAGGTTGGGTTGGATTGGACTTGGTCCTCTGGACTGCCAGGACTAGTTCAGGCAGTTCAAGACCTAAATTTAATTTTTTTTTAAATTTTTTTCTTCAATAGGTGGTAAGATTGTAATTTACTATATAAAATTTTGCACATATTTTAATCCAAAGTTCATCAAATTTGATCATTCCCTTTCAATTTCCCAATAATGTCATGTTTTATTAATTAATCCTCATTAATATAGATCTTATATTGTAGAAAATATATACACATATTCATTACTTAGGAAATTAATAGATAAATCTTGATTATTTGAATAGAAAAAAAACTTATGTAGAAAAATTAAATCAAATTAAAATTATATAAATAATAATTAAAAAGAAATTGGGCTAGACTAGACTAGACTAACTGGTTTGAGGAGCCAGTCCCTAGTTCAGTCCAGCTTGATGAGACCTGTCCAGTCTAGTCCAGTCCAGTATTGTTTCGGGCCAATTTTTTCTGGACCAGATTTATTCAGATTGAACCGGACTATACCGGATCACTGGGTTTTTGCACAACCCTAGTTGCTATACATGATAATGATGTCAAAATTAGAGTTTCACGCTTTCTCCTTCTCTTGGGCACAAATCATATATAATGATACAGCACACACTGACTAATTATTCACCATCTAATGGGGACATAAACTTATTTTTTATTTAATTTCCCTTTAAAAAAAACTTTTTGACCAACCCTACTTTCAATATAGTAAAAGTGAGTCAATTCTCTTTAAGCAAAGTCAAGAATTCGAACTTTGTGATTGGAAAAATGAATTACGTGGAAAGAAAAACAGGCAATATTTAAACTCAGTTCAATAATTTTTTTTTTTTGACCAGAAGATCAATAATCAATAATAATATTGTAATAAGTATGTTAATAGATAAATGTATAGAAAAGCAGTTCTTTTGAAATATTGATAGCTTTTTATTAAGACAACTGAATTCGTCATCCTAATCATCAAGACAAAATGTTTAATATCCGAAATCACTTTCCCTGAAAGTCAAGAAAACAGCATGAGCAAGAAGAACTCTAAAATAACTTTTGGTATTTAAAAAAGAAGAAGAAGAAGAAATGTGTTGAAAAATGACACCAAATAAAAAAATATACAATTGGGGTTACTTTTAGGTGAAGTAAAATGGGAATGGCGGGCGAAAAAAACAAGAAGAGAGGTAAAAATTTGGAGAGGAGCTAAATAGACAAGAGGTTGGCAGATTTTGGCTCAGGAATTGGAATTTTCACAACTCACGAGTGACAGTTCCCCGACACACACAAATAACAGCGCCATATGCTGCCAAATTCCAAAATCAAAACTGGCTGCGCACTTTAGATTGATCTTCTTTGCCCACATGCCCTTCTTCCTTCCTATTTCTTATTAAATCATATTTTTTTTGACCGGATTATTAAATCATAATTTAAAGTAAGCTAATTGCTTTCAGTATATTTCACCAGAAGCAAGAAAAATTTAAATATCATTAATTCTAGAAAAATTCTATTATAAAAACCTCTTGAATTTTAAAATCTCAAATCAAGAATTATTACAAAAATGTGTTGTCATCTACTTTTCAAGTATAATCAGTTGCTATTAAAGTGTAGTAAATAAAACTGATTTGTAATTTTAAAATCCATGAAATATTATTTTGGGGTTTTCTCTTAAGTTTATTTTAAAATTTAATAACTCTCTAACTTTAAGAAAATAACAATTTACAAAAATAAATGAGAAGTACAATTATACATTCATATGATAAATTTAACAAGGTGAATTGTATTAAAAAAAAAACACTCTCTAAGACTGATGGGATATTTAATTAACAAATCATCAACAATAAAATAATTGTTTATACCTAAGTTGAGTTGTAAGTTCACTTGATGATTTTTTTTAATTATGTTAAAGCAGTTTAATGAGAATAATTTGATAAACAACTAACATCTGTCATGCCTTGTAACAATGAAAATAAACAAATAAATAAATATTTCATGTGATGGAACCAATCAGGGGTTGGTGTTGGTGGTGACAAAAACAAAAGAAATGGTAAGGGGCTAATGTTTTGTTTTGCGTCATATCTGGGGGATTCAGTCTGAGGACCCTCGGCGTTACCAAGGCTGCAGAGTACTGAAGAGTCATCTGTGTGGGTCTGTTAAAGAGTCAAGTTACGTTATAGAGTATACATTTTGGGCGTGGCCCCGCCAGGGCAAGCCAACAACACAGCAGATGCCGAACTAACCATCAGTGACTCCACCATTCACATTATGGTCCAAACCGGTAGTATTGCTTTTGTCGTATGCTGGTTCAAAAAAGAAGCCTTCAGAAAAGGGACATCGCCACGCCATTATTTTTAGTCTCTGCTTTTTCAAACTTTGGCTTCCCTCATTGACAATGAAAGGGCATGAGCCAAAGGAAACACACCCCCGCCCCTTTCTTCTGCTTTCTCTTCTTTTCATGTCCTTCTCTCTCTCTCTCTCTGTGCCAAAGTTTCAAACCAAAAAAAAAAAGCCGTTTGAATGGAAGTACCTGAGACAGACAGACAGACACAGACCGAGGGGTCCTCTGCCTCCAACTTTTCTTTCTTCATATTCAGACCAACCATGTCTTTTTTCTTTCTTCTTTTTTTTTAAGATCTAACCACGCCCAAATAAAAAAACCAAAAATGAATTCTCAGTTCCATTATCCATCTTAACATCTTTGACTGTCTGTACAATTTGAATCCCTTCCCCTCCCCTCATCCATCCCTAAACGCTATACCCTTCTCCCCAAGGAACAATCTTCCACAAGAAAAAGCAATGGAACAAAAAAAAAAATATACATATGCTTCACCACATGTCCTGGGATGTACAAGCTAAGTTGTCAATCTCTCTCCCCAAATAAAAACCAAAATCACATCCATGCCTCTTTTTTTTCCCCTCCCCCACTCTTTTTCCTTTCCTTTCCTTTTTTTTTTTTTTGAAATAATGAAAGAACAAATACATACTACCCTAAAAAGCGTTTGAAAGAGGTTAAAAGAGAATGAAACAACCGAATTCATAGAGCTTGGGACATTCCTCCCCTACCCATTTTCTTTTTTGCAATGGCTATTAGAAAAATGTAGCCATCAACAAAGAAACTCCAAACTTTGCTCGTTTGCAGAATTCACTGATATACATACCCTGTAGGGGTCCTCTCTGCTGAGATAAGGGTTGTGTCCCCTTAAGCATGCTCAAAATTAGTCTTGGTTCAATTCCAGTAGTTGTCACTTTCTTTCCCTGCGTGTCATTTGTCCTCTACAAAGATTCTGTGTATGAAAAACCTAAATCTTTTTGAATATAGCTTGGGATCAACGGCTGAGATGGAGGTGGGATCCACTTGCAGCGACTTGTATGCATGTTCTAGCTTTTTGGTAATATCGTAGTCTTGGAGAATGTCAATGATACCAAAGAAGAGGATGACGTCCAATATCTCACCACCATCACCCCCACCATCCGAAGGAGATGAATTGCTACTTCCACTACCCTTTTGCTCCAATCCTATCCTACAAACTCTCTCGGCTCTGGCAGGAGTGTTTGTTCCTAACCGGATTAGAGGCTCCCTGATATAAACATGGAGAATGATTATGCTCAAAATCAGAAACCAGCAATGGATTATTGACTAAACTTGGCTAAAAGTTCATGTGACAACCTAGCAGTTCGATACAAATGTTCACGGAGGTTAACTTTTTTTACAAGGCAAGCTGAGTAGCACCTACTTGCTATATGTTTATAAGAGAATCTACTGACATAAAATATTTGCATAATCAAGATGCAAATCACCTATTAAAAAACAAGGCAGAAGAGGAAGCATCATGCCTAACATAGCAAAACATCTATGTATGATTAAAGTTTCAGCATCTATTACTACTTCGTTTACCCACCATTCGGCTAACAACAAAAGCTTTGCGCTTATGAGGAAGAATACAATGACCCCACCAACAATTATTGTCAACAAAACTGACTTCTGTTTCGCCTAGATAGCACACGTCATCTTCAGTACAACTCACGAAACAGAATAGATCCAACACTCACTAGCCCACTCCCAAATCATATTAAAAATGGCAGTTAAATATAGTGCTCATTCATAGACATTTGCTTGTTTGTTTTTCAGCTGTGGCAATTTGCCATTAGTAATTATTTGCATGCAAATGTGCCGCCTTGATATTTTAAGATAAAAGTATTCTACTAGTGTTTGTTGAAAACCTGGGTCCTTGTGCACTAAAGCTCAAGCACGTGGCACATGCAAGGAAGTGAAAGGGATCGCCATCAATGGGACCCAACAATGAGATTGTTGACTTGGTTTCCAAAAAAAAGAACTAATAGATGGGAATTTTTATGCAAACCAAAATTTTACAACGTTTGACATATAATTGCATAAAGATTTGGGAGTTCCTTGATATTTCAGAAGCTAAAAAAAGATGCTAGGAGAATAATGCTAAAACTTAAAACGGTTCATTTGATAAAGACGACTAGGTAGGGATTAAAAGAAAGAGACATACCGGCTACTAGGTATCCACCTCATGTCGTGCATCTCATCGCCAAGAAAATTTCTCTTTCCTGATCAAGCCATAAGCCAGTATATTTTATGTTTCCAGTAGTAAAATCAAACTCATCATAGAGCACAAGACAAAACTATAAAGCAAGATAAACGAAATACAACCTGAACGCAAATCATATGCTGGACTTTTCTTTTCATCATCTGAGTAATCATCACGAAAATGAAGACCAATCAGAAGACTGTAATCCATGATTCCCTCTGACTCTAGGAATTCACAGTCCTTGTCCAGTTGCCTGAGTAGAGTAGAAACCATTGCATAAGACCAATCTGAAGTACGGAAGGGAGAATGTAAAGCTGTATGCATCTTGGAAACTATACCATTTAAACTTCTGAAACCAAGACTGTTCCAGTCGAAAGACAAAATTAAGATCGAGATCTTTGAGGGTAGTGGTTTCATCAATTTCTTCCTGCGGCTTATCTGTTGTACGACCATGAGAAGAACCTTTGAGGTCAAACCTCTTATGGATCCGGTACTCAGAACAGAACACGTTGCCCATCACAATAAACCTGGTCTGGTTTTGCAAAGAATTTTTTTGATTTCTTAATTAATTTGCGACAAGCAATTTGAAATATCAATCACTTCAGGGCAAAATTTTCATCTTAAACCATACCTTCTGACCTCCAATAGGCTTGACACAATGAACGCCAAGGAATTTTGTAACAAGGGAGTTCTTGTATTGACAAACATGGTTGTAGTAACTTGGAAGCATCCTGATGAGCACCTGACAAGGCCACTAGTGATTATGGAATGCCCAGAGAATAGTAACCATAGCTCATTCTGAAAGCCAGATCTTACCTCACCAGAGACGCCTAACAATTTTCTTTACAAAATTAATGCATTTTCCAATCATGCCTATAATTTTCTTTACAAAATTAATGCATTCCAAGTCTAGTGGTTTGCAACTAACCTTGACTTCCGACTTCTTCACGGTTTTAATAATGAATCTGTCATCTTGAGTAAGGTAAAAGAAGCTTCCACTTTTCCCAGGAGATGACATCTCTCTGAGCGAGTCATTTCCGCAAATAGCCAGCATATAATCCGCCGGATCTATTGCAAATAACTCCCTTAAATGTCTAAATGCCCAACAAAGAAGGAACCACAGAATACATGCATAATTAGTCGAAAGCCCGAATTTCCATACATGGAAATAAATAAATAAAAAATACTAATCATTCAAGTAAATCTATCTTCACCTGAAGACGATTGGACAATAGTCTTTCCACCTGAAGTCCACTGACTGATGCGGAGGCGTACACTTAGATCCTTCTGGTGGAAACCTCGTCCAGAACTTCTCCTTCGGATCAAAATCTCCCTGCCTAAGTTCTCGCATAACCGAAGCATGCTTCCCAACAGAGTACCTGAAGAGATAAACAATTTTACAATAATTTAAATTTAAATTTATTTCATCGAAAGATTATAGCAACTCGGATAAGCTAACGAACAAATACCTGATACCCAGTTGAAGATTAAGCATCAAATCGTAGTTCTTATGCCCCTTCGATACAGTTTGACCTGGTCTCTTCAGATCGCCATCGGCCAACAGACATGGACTTTTCTGGAACTCGCCGGTATTTGCTTCCTCCCCGTGAACAGATTCACTAACATCACCGTATAACTCAGATGGCTCAACGATATCGCAAGTAATATCTCCAGCTTCGCCGTCAAGTTCCCAGATGCAAATCCGGGGGAAATTCACATTCCTCGATCCGTCCACCGACGACCTCTTCCTCGCCGTCGTCATCATCTCAGTATTCTTCTCCCAATTCCCAGTAGAGCTGATTCCATCAGCCCAAGTGAATACTCCCTTCCCCTTTGGAACACCGTTCTCCCAAAACCCTTCATATCGATTCCCATTTGTCCAAATCAAAACTCCTTTGCCAGAGATCGCACCATTCTTCCACTCACCCGCATACTCATTCCCATTCTTCCACACGTACCTACCTTCTCCATCTTGCAAATTGTTCCTCCACGATCCTTCGTACACATCTCCATTCGCGTAGCACTTCTCGCCAACCCCATGTTTCCGATCAGCGACCCACGTCCCACGGTACATCTCGCCCTCAGTACCAATGAATGTACCGTACCCATCTATTCGACCCGCCTTGAATTCGCCCTCGTAGGTAGCCCCAGATGGCCAAGAGAACTTGCCTCTTCCACAGGCTTTACCTCTCTTCCATTCACCTTCATACATGCACCCGTCCGCCCACAGATATTTCCCAGTACCGTGTGGCACATTCCGCAGTAAAGTACCAGTATAAAGATCTCCGTTCAGGACGACATTCTCTACGGCGCGGGTGGCGACGTTATGGGCACCGGAGGCAGGGACGGTAGGTGCCACGCGCCGCAGCCCAGCTTGGGTCCGAGGCCGACCGAGCACCAGACAGGGAGGTGGGACCACTAGCTCAATTCCTTTCTCTTTCAGTTCAGATTTTTTCTTATTCGCTTCGTTGGCAGGTGTGCTGGGATTGATGCCTTCTTCAGTAGGAATGAGGAGCGTCTGTTGCATGTTTTTCTCGGTGAGGTTGCGGGGAATCACAACCGACAGACATTCGCCGGATAATGCAGCGCCGGCGAGAGAAAGAGAGAGAGAAACAGAGACAGAGTAATGGAAACAGAGTTTACTGTGTGGGGTGGAGGCGGATGGTTGGTGGCGGTGGCGGGGGCAGCGTCCACATTGTGGAAGTGGCGTTTGTGTCGCCTGTCTGTGAGAATCAGAGATAGCCAGAAGGATGAGACTCAGTACCTTTTTTTTTTTTTTGGGCTGGGGTGAGTTGCTAGCTTGACTTTAATGGCCAGCCATGACCTTGTTCCTCTCTCCTCTGGGTGTCTCGTAGATTTTGGCTTTGTTGGCTAATACTTCCTTTCACGACACAAAAGGGGTTTCGGATACCCCGCCCTCCTTAATTCACACATTCATCATTCGACTCTGGATTATACAAATATGGACATGGACATGGACAGGTGAAACTAATGTAGTGGGAGAAGCCACTTAATTAATTTAAATAAGTTACATAAATTAATATTGACTAAGAGCTTAGTAAGAGATTTTTTTTAATTATTCCAATTAGTTATCTTAAATATTTTTTTTGTACTTATATTATATGTTTTCAGTATTAAAATAATAAAAAAATGTAGGATTTAAAATATAAATAAATAAATAAATCTAAAAAGTGTTTATGCGCGTATGGGAGGCTGGGAGGGGATGAGGAAGGTGGCAGAGGAAGGTGGTAATCACGTATGAGTATGAGGGCGGGCGGGGGATGACAATGTTGATGCGCGTGAGGGGTGATTCTGAAACAGAATCACAGGAATAATTAAAATAGGAGGGTAGTTATTTGTATATATTATTATATATAGCGTTGGCAAATATATATATATATATATATATCGCATGGCTGTGTGGGTTGTGAATTGTGATACAGTACTTCTTCTAAAATAAGGCGTGCCATTGGATTTGTGCGCCGCGAAACATTAGCAGTTAGCGGCTATGTACATGCTAGTAGTCAACAACATGTGGCCAACTAAATTCCATGCAATTCCACCCAAAAAAACATTGTTTGTGATAATTAATTATCTTCTTTTTTTTTGCCAAAATATTACTTTAAATTTTTGATACGAGAATTAGTTAGAGATTTAATTTAATTTTAAATATAAAATTTTGAAACAAAAAATATAAAATCTTAATTTATTTTATTTCTAATATTTATTTTACTCTCAACTAATTCTCATGGTGATTTCATCAAGTGATAATGTTAATAAATACTACCTCCGGTCATAATTATAAGAGTTAGTAGACTATTTTGAGAAAATTAAAGAAATAATTTAAGTTAGTTATTTGTAATAAATAGTATTGACTAGAACTACTATTATTAGAATGACTATCTTGAGAAAAATATATAAATATGAAAGACAAAATGAATAAGGATCTTATATTTAAGACTAAAATAAAAGTTAAATAAGTTCTTATATTAAGGACCGGATGTAGTAATATTTATTTATTACAAATAATTAATTTAACTATTTTTTTAATATTTACAGATTAATTATTTATTTAGTCTTGTACTACCTCTGGTCCTTAAAATAATATCTTGTTTGATTTTCATTTTGATCCTAAATATAATATCCTAATTCTCCTTGTTTCTCATATTTATGTATTTTTTTAAGGTAGTCATTCTAATAATGGTAGTTTTAGCCAATACACTTGATTGACAAGGATATTTTAAGAATGACAACACTTATTTATTACAAATAACTAATTCAACTTATTTTTTTAATTTTATTAAATTAGTCAACTAATTCTTATAATTAAGATTAGAGGTAATGCTAAACACTAAAAATGGGGAGTATAACATTACTGCTGGTGGTAGTTCTTGTCTAGTTAACGTAAGGCGCTGTAGGCGTGCAGCGTTCCGAATTCTGTTGTTGATGGATTATTTGAAGTTCTTTGTGGACGGTAGCAACGTTTAAGTTTGAATGAAAATAATGATAACAAATTTTAGCTGTTTAGTTAATTACAACAGTTTATTAAACTGTTAAATTGAATGAACGACAAAATATTATTTGAAATAATTTTTGTCTTCGTTAAATAAGAACCAAACTTGCTTCCAATTACTTATGCCTTAATAAATTATGGATAATATTCATGATTCAAACGCATCTTTCCAACCAACTTCATACAAAGTTGAGAATCCCCATTCCAAACTGAGTAATTATAAAAATGTTTTGCAAATCTTGGACCAAAAAAGGGCAAAATAAAAATAATAAAACTAATTAAAATGCATAAAATAAGAGCAGATAAAAATTCAGGAAGAGAAAATGATAGCGTGCTTCTTTACTCGGCGCCACAAATGCTACAGTGAATGACATTCACTTGAAAGTCTTCGGTCACAAAAGCCAGCCTAGGAATTGTAATGATATGATAAAATAATTCACTAACATTTTTTATAAGAGGACAAGTTTATATCAAGGAACTAATAATACAAGGGATAGGTCAGATAAAGACATTAAAAAATAATTAATTCACATAACTATATATCACAAAACTTTTGAAAGTTATTGAATACCAAACATAGGATAAATCATAGAAGATCACTAATTCATGGGGTTATGAAATGCATGCCATTGAAGCTGAAATAAACTATTAAAAACATTATTCTTAGATGTAAGAAATATTTACAGCAGACAAGTCTTACACGTAATTATACACCTTGTAAATATTATTAACTGTCATCAAATGAATGAATGAATGAATGAATAGAATAACTGTCTTAGTAGATTATGAACAAAATTCATCACCCAAATGTGTTTCCACTTTCGAACTCCATCCAAATCCAAACGCTATTCAATATTTGAAATGCGAGAAAACATCCAGAGTTAGGAAGGCACCTCACTTTCAGTAGTACCTGGGTGTGGTATTCTAATGTTTCTATCACTTGTATTGGTGTTTCTTCAGAACCTCCCTATACACAAGGGAAGCAAGGATCACAAAAACAAAAAAGAAAAACGAAAATAAGAAAAGATTATCACATAATACCATTAAGAAAATGGGAAAGTAGACAGAGATCACGGTTAGGTCAATTTCGATGGATTTAGTCAAATGTCAGTACCATTTTTAACTATTCAAATAGACGAGGGCAGGATTCCCAGTTCCCTTGTTCCCTGGCCTCCCAGTATCCTCCAACATAACGGTAGGTATTGCTGCCTTTGGCCTTCCCAAACCACCTTGGCTTCCAACCTTTCTTTTGCGTTGTCAATGCCTAGCAGTTCCAACCTTTCTTTTGAATAAAGGCCATTGCATAATTCAAAGTGTGCAACTCGAATAAAGTAAATCAGATGCATGAACCATACCTGCCGCTGTATTTTTTCCAGCCGCAACTTCTCAGTATTAGCCATCTCATATAATCCATTCTCCAAATACCTTTGATCGGGTCTTAGCCTCGAATCCGTAGGTGGCAGCTTCTCCTATTTGTGAACTCTCGTGTAAGAATTAACAAATCTTATGAACAAAGGTATATATAGTATACAGATAGAGAAAAAGGGCAGTCTTCTGAACAGTTACCCTGAGCTCAGGTGTGATTTCATTTAATGTAATTCCGAACTGTGTAAGATTATATCTTGTAGGGTGTTCGGGTGGTTCGCTCCGCTTCCATAGAAGATGAGGTTTTGAGGAGACAACGGAACCTTTTCCTTTCCTAGCATTGTCTCCAACTACATAATGCAAGCTCTCGTCCCACTTCCCTCGTAAAGTTGCCACTGTTCTACCTTTCTTATCTGCCACTTGGCCGTGCACCTACAGCAGAACTTAAATGACGCAGACGAAGTTATAAAAATATGTCGACAGAACAGAAAGAATCATGCAATTCAGAAAACTCTCTTAAAGAATTAAAAAAAAAAAAAACAACAACAACAACAAAAAGCCAACAATTGTGCAGTTTTATCATTGACAGCAAACAATGATTTCAGTCAGGGCGAACAGACTCTTTGCATCAAATTTGCAAATAATTCACAGATCAGCAACAACAAGAATTCTTATCCCATTAGGTGAGGTCAGCTATACAGATTGTATGATATTATTGTGCTCTATTAATAACCAAATCATTAGATAGGTTGTTAACCAAAAGGTTTTGTTCAATGACCTCATTAAGTATTCTTTTTTGTCTTCCTCTGCCTTTTTCCAGAAGACCCCATACTGTTTGATCTACCCTCTTCACAGGTACTTCCAATAGCCTTCTCTATATTTATCCAAACTACCTCAAACGATATCAACCATTTTCTTTTCAATAATTCATAAATCAGTATTAAAAAAAAAAAAGTGCGAATAATAACGTGAGCATCAATTTTTAGACTTCATGCAAAGCAGAAGACCACCTATTTAGGACAAAAATCCATTTATATTTTTTAATGATTTTTTTCATCTCTGATTCAATTTCCTAAAGTCCGAAAACCTTTCTGGTTGACTAAGCTACAGAGAGAATTTTTAGGACCAATGAAGGTGTTCAGTAGATCAATAAAGGTTGCCCATAAAAACTCTAAATATAACTGTCTCCTCTGCTTTTTTTTTTGGGTCAAAATAACTGTATGCTCTGTCAGACTGTACCAATTCGTTATCATAAGAGAACTATGAAGGGGAACATTACATTGCTAATGTCAAGATAATAATACATGTCAAAGGTATCAAGAATATGACTCGTTTTAAACAACCAGTTAGATCGCACATCCAACAAAAAGGAGCAAGGACGAATCATATAGGAGATGTAGAAAGGGCACCTGGTGAGGGTTTCTGTTGATGATTGACTGCTCCTTGAATTTAACCTTGCATGAATACTCTCGATCCGCCTCTATACTCATTGTACCATAATTATCACAGTAGAGTTTCCCTAAAATGAGGTTGTAAATGGATGTTGTTACCTGATGGTAGAATATTAACCAATCAGCTGGCATCTTGGATGAGATTGTCAAGCGCTACTCATGTGAAAACATACCTTACTCCACCGAAAGACTTGTCCGTCGTCAAACTCTAAAGTCAATAAACCCATAGGATCAATCTGAATTGAACGACCCCAAAATTTACTTTTTACATTGATGTCACCCCAAAATTTCCAACAGCTGCCCTCACAGTGGCATGCAATAACCATAGGATGATGACTGACCTATTTCAGTATAAATGATACATAAGTAATTCATTCCCAACTGCCAAAACATTTTATTTTAACCCCAATATCATCCGAATACATACATATGCCAATATTTCAATATGCCTATCAGATTGCTAGCGCTTTCAAAATTTATATGTTCTTTTCTTTTTTTTGGGGAGGGGCTGAGGGGTATTATTAATAAGGCAAGTTTTTCTAAATATTGAATAAGATAAGCACACAACACCTTTTCAGAGATAAAGCGGATTCCCTTGTCCGGATAATCAGCTTCATATGTCTCACCCAACAAAGGATTAAACGGTTTGTAAGTTCTACCCTCTGTGGAAGCATAACTTGAAATTGCAAATGCAGCTACATATAGCATCCTCATAAGGTTGTTGCCCTGTTACATGCACCGGGGATGCCGGAAGGAATAATTAACCAAACACAGGCTATTTACTGAAAAGTGTATGAATTCGGCTATCCCTAGAGAATGATGTCATTTACAAAACAATGTCAGAAGGAACTAACCATTTTACCCCACAAATATGCTTGATCTAGAAGATAAGAGTACTCCAGATCTTCAAAGCATTTCTGTAAAGAGGAGAGGGGCTCATTGAAGTAAACCGGCAGACAAACTCTAGTGAGATCCTTCCCAATATTATCCTTTAAAATTGACCACAGACTGATTCTCCTCTCTTTCTCAACAGGATCGGGCAACTTCTTTCGCCGCTTGACATGAAGATAGTTGAACCCAACAGACCCTATACTTAAATTTGCTTTGCATTCACCATTACGAGTCACTTCTTCTCCAGAATCAAGTGATGATCTATCTAACTCAGATCCATTATTTTTATCACTGACTGGTGAAAGAATGTCACTTGAATCGAAGAAGGCATCATAGTCATCATCGGAATCATCATGCCAATCAAGCTCATCAAAAAAATCGCTTACACTCCCCTCTGCAATACATTAAAAAGAAAAATAATTAGCCTCTCCTAGAAAGGTGACCTCGCAAACCTAGGGGAATTTACGCAACATCACACCCCTTCTATCAACTCTTCTCTGTTCCAAAGCAGTATTACAAAGGTAGAACTGACAGGATCATGACCAGATTGAGCCATATATCTCTCCAAAATCCAAACCCTTTCAGGATCAATACAATAAGAGGACTTGGCATCCGCCAAAAATAATCACACATATTTACAATAAAGCAAACATGAGTTCGGAATAGGCACTACAATATGTAACTGACGAAAGAGACAACTATTGCAAAATTTCCTTTTGGGGGATGCTTAGTAACCCAAGAATACCATTGCGGTAAAAAAAAGAGCCTAAAATCTAGAAAACAATGAACAAACTTAGGGTACGTAACATTGAAAATCTGTGCGATAATCTCATAAATACCGAAAGTATTGCAAATTGTTTTCTTATACTATCGTCGATTCACCACGTGGAGCTCTCAAGCCAGAAAGAATCATATAATCTCTTATTAAGGAGGGAAATGAATTATATGAATTATTTCATTCGACAAATAAACATAGATTATAGTGTTTCAACTTTCAACGATAATTTCTTAAACGAAAGCGCAACATTGCATTACACTTTGAAAGAGAAGTGAATGCAGATTGGTATAAAGGAATCACACTAACCGCTATACTTCTCGTAGACTGATCTAAAGGAATCTCCGTCCTCTTTTGACTGCTTTCGGCTTTCATGGACAAAGGTGTTCTCCAGGTCCACCTTTTCTGTCTGTGAGATGTTTCGAAATAAATGAAAGTCAACCAAAAATTTAAAAAGTAAAAAGAAATATAATAAAATAAAATCCTTAGCATGTTTGAAGTAATCGAACAATCTTGAGAGCACGAGGAGATAGAAGAGAGGAGGTGCAGATTCATAATACATCCCAGTCATTCACAAACCTCATGGCATACATCTTAGTCGTTCAAAACCCGTACAGCTTTAGTAAGAAACAAAATTGATTTGCTAAACTTGCCATCAATGACAGAACTATTCACATGTATTCTTGAGGACTCTAGATACGCTTACCTCCAAATTGCGTAAAGCGTCCACTAGTTGCATTTGCTTGTTCTTGAGGACCACAATCTCCTTATACATCTCAGTAAGCTGGTCTCTCATGATGTGTTCACTATCATGAATAGCAGCCTCGCTGATGCCTTCTTCTAGGAGGCGTTGCCTTAATTTCGCGGTGGAAATTACAACAGATTCTGCTGGAGCCATAATCTCAGCATTTGACAAACGAGGGAACATATCTTTTGCGGCCTGCAATGCCTCCACCCATGCTTTCTTGTCCTCCCTGGTCTCCGCCCGCAATTGTAGCCTCTTCTTCGTCCCTGTATGTATAGAAAACCTCCTCTCATCTGATTTACTCTCTTGAATTGAACAGACCTACACAAACGTGCACGTAGCATTCAAAATTCAAAACAATAAACGATACACACCACATTATGATGGTAACATTGCGAAACAAAAAATATATTGTTGAAATATAACTTGGAGAGTCTACATATCAGATATCGAGCATCAATGTGACATATATATTACATCATAAATAATCATCAAAAGCGGAATTAAGAAACACCATGAGATGGATTTCTCCGACGGGCTTGCAGTGGCGAGATGAGCGACCGCGACGAAAATTTGTTCCACAGAGACTGTCTAATCCAATAAGCAAGGACCCCGTTTCGACTTCACGACTGAGCACGACCATACGGGGACCATTGATTTTGTAATAAGAAAGAACGCCATCGAGAAGAACGAACCAACGAGGTTGCCAACCTCGACCATAATTGATCCACTTATATAATATGCCTGATATTCCATTTCCGACAATGTCATTGATCATCACCTCCCGCTGACCCACCGGCACTTGAAGTTGCCGATAGATTTTCGACGACACGGAACGCTGCGGAAAACTGGAGGAAGCTCGTCGTAGGAGAGGGATTTGGACCTTTGGTGAAAGAAAGAGGGTCTGCGGGAGTGGCTTTTGGCCGACGACGGAGTTGAGGGAAGCCTGTAATTCATTTCCGAACACGACGACCTGGAAACAGACAATGAGGTTCGACCCAGTTTGGGATGGCACTTGTTGAAGAAGTGAAATGGATGCAACAGGAACAATGTGAAGCAGCGACGATCCAGGAATGATCAAACTATTGGCAGTTTGTTACCGGAGATGCAGCCTCTCAAAAGAGAAGCGTTATTGGAGGCAAAATCAAGCGAGGGGACTCCCCGCGAAGATAGTTTTTTTTTTTTTTTTTAATTCCCTCAAAAAGTAATAATCTGTTAGGTAATAATGAGGTTGCGGACAACTAAGCATATTTTTACACTTAGATCTGATTAAAGATCTAAATTAAAAAAGAAAAAATTACACTCAGGTCCCACAGAACACAATTAATATCAAAAAGGTCCCTCGAAATCGCGAAATGATTCTGAAGTCTCCAGGGACCTGTGTATAATTAATTCTAATTGTGAAATTACGTAGTTACCCTTGTTAATTTGAACCTATTTACAACCTCAACAGTGGCTGTTAACAACCCAAGAAGAGGTGGTTAACAACCTCAACAACGCCCCTGGTATTCCACAGAGTGAGTTGTCATGAGCACTGTCGAGGTTGTCAATCACGTCTTCTCGGGTTGTTAACAGCACTGTTGAGATTGTAAATAAAATTAGAACCTATTTACAACATCAACAGTGGCTGTTAACAACTTGAGAAGAGGTGGTTAACAACCTCAACAACGCCCCTGGCATTCCACAAAGTGAGTTGTCATGAACACTGCCGAGGTTGTCAATCACGTCTTCTCGGGTTGTTAACCGCCACTGTTGAGATTGTAAACGAATTGTTGCAATAAAATTAACAAGGGTAAGTAGGTAATTTCACAATTAGAATTAATTACACACAGGTCCCTGGGGACTTTAGAATCATTTCGCGATTTCGTGGGACCTTTTTGATATTAATTGTATTCTGTGGGACCTGAGTGTAATTTTCCCATTAAAAAAAAATAAAGCTGCATGGAAAATAAGGCCCTTGCTCTTCCCAAATTGCCCCTGCCATTAAATTTTTACCATAGTTAATTTTCATCCGCACTCACTAGACCCTACAAACTACGATCACTGTATGGTGCATGGTGGCAAGGTTTCTTCGTTCTCTTTCGCATCTAACTGCAGCTGCAAGCATGAGGGTTGTAAAAGAATTTGAATCTATTTAGTTGTTTTCTAGTGCGCACACTTGCTATTTTTGCACAATGTTGATGATAACGGAAGAATCAAACCATTAGGGACATGGCCCACTCTAGATTCCTAAGCGGAATCGACATGATTAAGCTCAAGCTTTGTGATTTTTTCATTTTTTTTCTGTATTTTAGTAGCACCCAAATACTTCTTCTTTTTTTGTATTAATTACTCATTATTCATTTTTCGTGAAGTGAAATTTCTTCCCCCTGCTTCTGGAATCCATCAGAAATTTAGCTCCCGTTTGGTATGAAGCATTGAAAATGAGGGACTGGGATTGGGATTGCAATTGAAAAAAATCATTAAAATAGTACTTAGTATGAGTAATTGTTTGTTATATGGGATTAGGGAAACCCATGAAGGTGGGATTGGGGAATACCACTTCCCCTCATGGTATTCTCCAATCTCACATATATGGCTTTGGCTAATCTCATATATCAAATAATCTCTTATACTAAACACTCTCTTAGTAGATTTTTTCAATTGTAATTCCAATCCCAATCCCTCATTTTCAATGCTTCTTACCAAACACAACCTTAGTACTTCAATAGTAGGAAGAAAATACATCAAGGACTCCTAGGCCTCCACTCAGGTGGACTCGCCTCACTCTCCGCTTTGGTTTAGATCCACCTTGCCTCCTTCAGATAGCCAAAAGGCGACGGAGAACGTGCCTCCGGTGAGGTCCCTTGCATCGATGATGATGGTTAGTCAGATCCACAAGGGAAGAGCCTCCGCCATCCGTGATGAAGGTCGGCCTCACAAGCGACGTAGGGCATGTGAAGATGGTGCTGCACAGTGATTTTAGAGTCCAATGAGAGTGGATGAAGATGAAATATGAAAGAATAAAGATCTAATTGCAAGGGCAACCTTGAAAGAGCAGTGGCTTTATTTTTAGAGTTTTCCCCCCATTTGGATGCTCAGTCAGATCCACTTATATATTTGCCTGCCAACCCATTGCTAGTCAACGGATTGTTAACACCGTTAACATCTATTAAACAGTTTTAAACATAAAAAGGGCATGCAATTAGCTGTGTAAACTCAAGGGTGTGTTTGCTACGAGAGATTTGGATTGGAGGAAAGGAGAGGGAGGGAAAAGGATTTTAATTATTTTTTTTTGTTTGGCAACACATAAATTTTAGGCAAGAAGAGAAAATTTTAAAAATTTTCCTTCCCCTCCCCTCCAAAATTGGGAGTATTTGGAAAGAAATGACAATATTTTGTCATGTTATAACTATTATGTTCATATTTTGTCATGTGATGACCATTATGCCCATATCTTAAATAAAATAAGGGTAAAATTATCCATATTAAAAAAAATTTTCCTCCCCTCTCCTCATGAATCAAATAAGGTAATATTAAAATTTATCCCCTCCCCTTCTCTCCATTAAAATCCCTTCCCTCTTTTTCTTCTTATTGAGCCAAATAGACCCTAAAGAATCTGATAAAAAAAAATATACAGGGATCCAATTCAAAATAAAAAAAATAATATAAAGACTAGAGAATTAGTTTTTCCTATTTTTTAACGTAGGGGCCCAAGGAGGATACGAAAAGTTATTGTTTATAAACAAAAAAAATTAACAAAATTTTTTGGGGCCTCGTTACTTGTCCTTTCTTAATTTTGGGCTTCTTGTTGGCCTATTTTAATTTTTCTTTGGGTTGGCTTTTTCAGTCTTACTGTCTCCCGTCCCTCTAGCTTCGGCCTTAAGCTGAGAAGCTTCCTCGTTAACTTTCAGCTTTAAAAGAATTTGAACAGATGGGACCAAATATCTTTGGTACAGTACATCGCCTGAGAACATTTTTGGTTTAAAATCAGCTTTTCAATATATGGAGTATGAAAATATATAAAAAGAGTTTTATTTTGAATTGTATGAACAAGTGTTTTTGGAAATCTCAATAAGTATTGAATTCCATTCTCTCCAACTTTTGTAAGCATGACCGACTTGAGATCATTAAAGTTAAGTATTTCTCTTCGTCCAATATAAAGGTTCCATTGGTGCTTAGTATGCATTTGAACTATGAATGAGCTTCTGTCTTAATCATTTTTAATGAGTATCCATAGATTTCATTGTTGCTCACTCTCCAAATCTAATTCGTAAAGTCTAGATTAAATTGTCAGTTTTTAAAAAAATAATTTTAAGAAAACATTAGTTGAGAATTTTAAATTGGAAGCTAAAACTACATTTGAACGGATTTCATTACTGCAGTAAGCATTAAACTAATTTATAGTTGCAAAAAATTGATTTTACGCCGTACAAGGTACAAGGTGAATATGTAAGAGAACTTTTATATCATAAAACATAAAAATTATTTTTTAAACTCTCCCAAATCAACCTTAATTTTTTTGGTGTTTTCTAATTTCGGCTTTTGTCAATAGAGAGACTAAAATACAAAATATGAAGGATAATATACATGCCCTGTGTTTTGGCAATATATATATAGCCATATATATATATATTTGTGTGGTAAAAAATGACATGGGAGGTAAAATGTATACATTACTGTAATATAATAAATACTTATAAGTTTAGTGAAAAATTTTAGCACTATAGAAAACTTGAATATTATTATCTTTATTCAAATACTTTAGCCGCATTTTTTGTCATCTTTATTCAAGACTCACCATGTTGGTTGTTTTTTTAATTCAAAATATTCTCAAAACACTTTTTTTTTGTGCTAAAGCATAAATATCCTCCTATTAGAGACAATTCTTTTTGAGGCACTGTCGAACGCTAAATGTGGGTACTTTTCCTAACGGGAATTTGAACATTAATTTGTCAAGTTGTGAGAAACTAGTTCTTTTTGCTAGATCTAATCCCCCATTAGTTTCTCAAGACACTTAAACTAATATTTATCAAGTTGGAATATTAAGATTAAAATTCAAAACGGGCCAAAGTGCTTAAACAGATGCTTTAAGTCCAATCCCTAACCCAAGGAATAAAACAATGGACCCCAAGCCCACAAAATCCCGGGTTATTTTACGAAATAAATATAAGCTGAAGGGTATGGTCGCAATTCATATGCAGCGTTAAAAATATTTTTGTTTCCCACAAGGAGGGACGGGCGAGACGGAGAGAGTCTAGAGAGAGAAAACGTGAAAGACCTCTTCGTTTAGAACTCTCAGACTATACAAAACCAAGGCCCTCTCTCGCTTCAATATACATTCTTGCTTCTCACATTCCGCGGGATTTCACTGTAAGATCCTCCCTTCTTCCTCTTTGGCACTCGCTCTATCTTCTCTCTCCACTTTTTCACTCCACTGCTTTTTTCCCCGACTGCTCACAAACTGGTTCTGGCGGGAATGAAGGTTTTGCGAGCGGTCGGCGATTTAAGATTTTTCCATTCTTCGTTTCACTTCTGTTTGTCTACGGAGGTCGCCATTATTTCTCGTCATTTTTATAATACTCATTATGCAGTGCTTGGAGTATGTTGCGGGGTTTGCGTATATCGGCACCTAACTTTATTTGGTTTGAGATCGCAAAAAATGCATATTCTAGGGTTTCCTCTCTATTACATCGCATCGGAGCTTCTCTTTTTTAATGTTTTGATGGGAGTCTCAGTGTTAGGCGTTTTTGTATTTAAACTTCAAGGTGGGGTCTCGTACTGTCAATTTTGCAAAATAATGTTGATTCTTTTCGTAGCTTATAATTTTATGGAGTTGAAACCAAAGGTCATGAACTTTTATCTGGCTTTTTCTTTTTTAAGCTAGCTACATTGCTTACGGATTGAAATGTCGCAATGACAACTTACGCTGCCTTTGCAATTCTTATTGGTTGATTTGACTACAAGTAACTTATCGGTCTCCTCTTGCGGGACATGTTAGGGTTTCTGGTACTACAGACGCTTATCTATTAATGAACATGCTTCACCAGGGTGAAAATGTTTTCTATTATGGTTTTAACACTTAAATTGGACTTATTTTTTCGTTTACCAATCATTGAGCTCCTCTTGTTGGCGATCTAGGGGAAAATTATAAAAACAATATTGTTATTTGAGGTCTTGTGCTTTATGGTTATCATAATATGACTCAACCAATCAAGCCATCTATAGTAGTGACTGAATTTTTAATTCCAACTAGATGTTGGCCTGTTGGTCTAATGCTTTGTACGGTGTTTGGGATGTGCTGCAAATGCAAGACTTATGAATGCTTTGTACGGTGTTTGGGATGAGCTGCAAGTGCAAGATTTACATTACTGACATTGTTCTTCCAATGTCTCTATGCAGGGTCATTGTCTCTGTTTGACAGCATATTACCAGATGCCTCTTCTTAAAAGGAAGCCTTTTGTCTTGGCTGAGCCACCTAAGGATTTGGAGCCACATGAGCTTGTCCATCAAGTTCGATTCACAAAAGAAATTTTCCGAGATTATCAGTATCCTTTTTAATTTACTAATGTTGCTGTTTTGTATGTGGGATTCTTCTTCCAATCTGTAATTTACATTGATGTAAATACACAAAGACATATCACTTACGTTTTTATCAATTTGTCTAAAAGTGATTTAAAACAATTGCTGCAATGTTATTGATAAAATACGTCATCAGCATTTCATACTTGGTCCTTTCAGTTAGATTGTAACTGTTGGTCTCCCTTAATGTGAAATAGTGATTATTTGAACCGTATAAATTTGTATCGCCAGAGAGTTTGGACATGTAAAGTCACTGGGAAATCTAACTTGACTTTTGAAGAGGCTATGGTGTCAGAAAAGCGTGCCACTGAAAAAGTCCAACAAATTCCCAAAGAATTAATGGAACCTGCACTAAGGATTATTCAATACAGTAAGAACTATTCTCATCTGAGATTAAGGAATGTATGTTAATATGATGATAGATGTGTTAATTATTCTTCTATTATGGCATATTGCATACATGATTTCCTTTCATTACGCATAGTTATATTGCTGTGTGCATTTAACGAGTCTAAAATTTTCTGGGTATCTGCTGAATTTATAGGAACTGGATATGGTTTATACAGTTATATATCTGAAGGTAAGGTACTTGTGAAATACATTGCAAGCATCTATAGAGATGGAATGCTTTTATAAAATATTCTGATGCTATCTACTCTAACAGCTGTGAATGAAAGGATCGTGTTATTTTGATCTGTTAATGCTATTCAGAAGATGTCTTGTTGTTGGTTGTAATCATAAGCATTTTAATCAAGCCATTAATCTCTCATTCCAAAGAATAGTCTCATGACTCATCAAGTTGGCAGCTACTAGTTCAGAGCACGTATTACCTCCAATTAACTGTATATAAATTATGATATGATATGATATGATATCCTGAGCCTTAAGATGCCCTTACACTTCTGGCTTCGCTTCAAGATGGTTTTGGGTTAGGCAATGGTTATCGCATTGGTATCAACAAAACAAACCTTATAACTGTCGGACAAGACTACTTGTCTCCATTAGTCATTGTAACCTATATGAAAGAAATGTATGAGTCTAGACTTGTACAACAATTGATTGTTCCAGTTTTAATGTATAGTTGCTTAAATTGCAAGACATCATTTTGTGAACGTTCTAACTTTTGGGCTTAGGTTGCTGTAAAGGAAATAAGGAGTTTGCTTAAGTGTTATAGGTGGAAAATATTTCTTTTTCTTTGCTAGAGAAACCCCGTGTCAATGTGTTGGTAAGTCGTTTGTAGTTCTATTATTTGATATTTGATTTTTTTCCCTTTAGAAAGAAGCTGAAAGGACTATATTATGTGAAAAAACCTTTTCTTTTTTCCACATATCCAACATGGAGCGTATTTTAAACTAGAACTTCTAAACGAGTGCCTTGCAATCACGAGAGAAATAATGGAAAAGAATTTGATAATGTGTCTGAAAATACAAAACTGCAGAGATTTACCCAACAGCTAGTAAATAGTTTTATATTTTTTATTTGACAAATTCAAAATAAAGAAGGCTTTGAAACTTGTTCTTAGAGTTAACTCACCAAACAAGTTTTCTGTTTGCTGACAATGGATGGTCCACAAAATGGATTCATTTTTTCCCCAAGAATTATTGTTAAAACATATTTGAAAACTGACGGTTAAAAAACAATGACAAACAAACAGTTGTGTTTGATTCAAGTCTTTTTGGATTATACAATCTGTTGGGTTTTTATTGAAGGGTATTTATTTTGTGCAAAACTAATGAGTCGTTGTGTTTGATCCAAGTGTGCTGGACTATGCAGCTTGTTGGATTTTCATCAAAATGCTTGCATTGTGTGTGTATTGCACTCCATGAATGAGCTTTTGTTTTGGCAGGCACGCTTCCTTTGAGGGAACTCGCTGACGCAATAGCTGAAAAATTGCAAGAACAGGTGTATGTGGGTGCTGAGCTGCATGGAAAAAAGGATGATGGAGAGCATCCCTGCAAAATATTAAAAGTCGTTAGGGAAGGAGTTGATGAATTCCGCTATGAGGTAGCTTGGCTTGACAAAAACAAGAGAACAATTGAAAAAGCAGAAGTCAGTGCCAAGGATTTGGTGCAGAAGAAGTTTCCTTTTAGCAGGAACATCTTGAAATCTTTTATCCGGGAATCTACATATCGTAATGCTCCTTGGGTGATACATGATGAATTGGCACGAAGTTATGGAATCTCAACTGATATCCCAGAGGAATTAAAAGGAAGAGCTTTCTTCAACAACGGACTTTTAATTTGCAACAAGAAAAGGAAAAATGAGGTAAACAGAAAGAAAGGGGTAGTAGTTTCAGCTGCAATCATCTCTTTGATCCATGCATAAAGAAGCAAAACTTAATTGATAAAGGAGAAAGAAAGAGTAAACTGTCGTAGGATTAATGTCCTGAAGTATAGTTCCTTGGTTGGTTTGTTATTGATGGTTTTTTTTTTTTTTGGTATCAAATTTGTCATATTCAGGATGTAAATGGAGATGCTGAAAATTGTAAAAGAAGGAAGTCGGGTGATGCAAAAAATGATGGCTTCCCTTCCGTGAAAGGTAGAATTTAAAGGTTGAAGTCATTTTGTCTGCTTCGAGAATTGGTTTAGCCCCCTTTTAGTTTGCAATTGTTTAATTAGAACTTATTTCGTAGCAGAATTTGAGTTCACTTTGCTTTGAGCATTTCCATTTCATCCACTCCTTTCTTTTTTGCTTTCTATGTTGTCGGGTTGGATTATAGCAGGTACCATGGGATAAGCCCTTTGTATTTTCTCTTAACTGGGAAGTTTTCTCTCTTGCAACTTGGAAATAATGAATATTTGATAAATTTCTATTTCAAATCATATCATCGCTATACTGAAGTTACGGATTTCTTACAATTGTCTGGTCAGTCTTCCCCTTATGAGTTTAATGTATTAAAATTATTTTGACCCTATCGGTATCATAATTTTGCAGAAAATGGCCAATGCAAGGTGGAACCTATCAAATATCCGATTGATGATTTATTGGTGAAACCTAGTCCAAGAGATCCTCATCGTCCTTCTCCATCGAGAGATTTCAATGTTCCGATTCATCATGTAGGGGATCTCTTAATGGTTTGGGATTTTTGTACTTCTTTTGGTAGGTTGTTGCATTTGTCGCCCTACTCTCTGGAAGATTTTGAAAATTCAATCTGCCACAAGGAAAGCAATGTGGTTCTCCTAATGGAATCTCATGCAGCACTCTTTCGGGTGCTCATGAAAGACGATGGTGATTATGCTTCAGTTGTGCAGAAAAGAAAACGGAAGTTTAAGGTCAGCATCTCCCTTGGATATATCTTTCTCCTAGCAGTTATTAGTATGTATTTTTTATTTTTGATGTTCAATACACATGTTCCAAATGAAACTTCCCTTGCAATCTGGTATTCTATGCAAGTTATTTCTTTCTTTCTTTTATTAATGATATAACAGTACCTAATCCCACTTCATTTTCAGATTACAATGATTAATTGGCAAGAATATTTATGCGATTTTCTAGAAATGATCAATGTTCCTGGGTTACGGCAGTTTGAAGCTACCATAAAAAGGGGACATTATGGCCTCGTTGATATCAATGCTAAGCTAGAAATCTTGTGCGAATTGGTCAATCGAGTTCTTGAAACCTCCATTTTTAGGGAAAAGTTGGACGAGGTTATTGAACAGCGGCAGGCAATTGGTGCTACTAGAAGAGGAGAAGCGCTAAAAGATGGTAGAAAAAGAAGAGAAGAAAAGGAACGGCTGAAAGCTGAGTTTGAAAGCAATGGGAGTATGGATGGGCACCATCAAATAAATGTAGCAACTGTCTCAACAAAAAATAATCACAGTAGACAGAATGGGGACATGGGAAAGAAAAGAAATGGAGAGAAGGAATCATCTAGGAACGGGGATGCTTTGGGTGGAAGGTCAGTGTTGATATAGTGAATTTTAGCTGCGCGCCTTTTTCTTTCCAGTAGTTTTTGTGACTTCCAACATAAAACTTGTTCTAAATTTATGAGCAGTTTGGACAAACATTCAAATGGTGCGTCCAAGAAGTCTTCTAGGAAGCTGAGTTTAGAACTGAAAGAACCAGCAGGAAATGGAAATGAGTCATCCATAAAGGAATCACAGAAGCAATTAAATGGGGAGAACGATCCGCCAGAGAAGAACAGTATAGAAAAGAGGGTTTAGCCTACCTCCATTCTTTTGTTTTTTTTTTAAATTATTTATTTAGTTTGCTCATTGGAGTTTTAATGATTCTGCTTGTTGCACAGAGAGAATATTTTGAACGAGAGATGGAAAAACGATTTGTTCGTACAAGTCCCCTGGGTAAAGACAGGCATTACAACAGGTATTGGTGGTTTCGCCGTGATGGGAGGATATTTGTGGAAAGTTCTGATTCCAAGGAATGGGGCTACTACAGCAGCAAGGAAGAGGTACTGATTTTTTTTTTTTTTTTTTTGGGGTGAACTAAGAGGTACTAAATTTAGATGGCCTGCTATATGTGCTTTTCCTTTAGGCACGAGACTCCTAACTTTTTATTGGTTTGCCTGAATAGCTTGAGGCATTGATGAGGTCACTGAATCGCAAGGGTGTGCGGGAAAGAGCATTGCACAAGCAACTGGAAAAATATTATAGTAGAATATGGTGAGTTAGATTGTTTTCCAATTGAAGATTTTAATGGAGTACTAGTAGAACATTTCTCAGTCCTTGTTTCCAATTCACGTAGTGGAATATGATGATCTGAACCTGAGTAGAAGCCTTCAATTTAGACTTTTATCCCGGCTTTACACGTTTTATAAATGCTGCAAGCGGGCAAAACCGATCATGGTTACAACAAGGGAACACCTTTATTTTTGTTTACTTAAAAAATTTCTACTAAGTAATTCTAACGTAGAATGCTCTTCAAAATGAGCTGATAGTTTGGAGTGGTTGACCATGGCTGGAAAAAAAAAAAACACCATGTATTAGAAACTGTCATCAGAAGTTTGATTAATTTAACATTTTGAGATAACGACCATGTTTACCATCTTGATTCTCGTGAAACCTGTATTGCTAAATCAGGTTCTGATCTCCTAGTGATGACATGTAATCTTCCAATCTTCCGTTGAATATACTTTTAAATGTTGTCAATATATTTTTGTATCAGTTAACTTCATTTTTATTTATATTCCATGTTTATAGTACGGAACTTCAGAAGAGGTTAAAGGATCAGATACAGAAAATTGCACTAGATGAGTCTGTGCTCCGAAGGTCTACTCGTGTTCGAGCGCCACCTAGAGAAAATCCTGCCAATGCTTTCCTCAAATATGTTAATAAGTGGAAGGAAGAGTAGTTGGTGCAAGGAAGGCTTACATCTTTTTAGCTTAGCTTCTTCGGCTTGATGAAAGCTGGAACGTTCTGCATTTGTTTCTTTTGTTTACATATGGAGAATGGTAGCAAATGATTCAGTTGGTCCAAGGTCTGAGGAGGAATAGGATGATTAAACGGTAGTTTAATCTATCATCGGATGATGGACAAGCATGTATTTTATGCTTGATCCTGAAATTTTGTATATGGATTACACCATTTTTAAATAATAACTGTAGGTACAAAAAGAATTCTTGTATTTACCCGGCTCTAATTGTTGTTGTTATTATTTTTATTATTATTTTTTGTCCCGTTGCATGGTTACTGCATTTGTATGTTGGTGTGGACATTTACATGGAACTATTCATGTGAATTTATACTTGCCTGTTGTGATGTATATAACGTCTGTGTTTCTCCAGCTATCCGACAGGAATTCATTCTGCAGCCTTCTACGATTCATCTAAAAATCGACGAAAACCACACATAATGAAGGTCAATTGAAAGATATCAATTTTAATTTTTGTTGTCTGTGGGGGAAGAGTTTTTTTTTTGGGGGGGGGGGGATGCTTTGTCCAGTTTTTTGTTTAGTCTAAATTGTCATGCAAACAGCACAAGGGGGTATCACTTATCAGGACCTTGCCATGTTCCCCAGGCGTTCTATGAAACTAAATTATGAGCATGTATTTTATATGGATCCTTGACACCGTTCGTTTACAACACTATTGCGATCGTAAAGGGCTGTTCTACGTGGAATTTGCAGGCATACAAATTTGAGAAATAAATCATATTGTTGATAATCTTGCTAAATAAATTTTATTTTATATTGATTGAGGAGGCTCTCCCGTTTCAAGTTTTTCAAAATCGTATGGGTCGAAAATTAGTTCACCATGTTGTGGGACGTTAGGCTCAACTCACTAACGGTGGCATTATGTTGTGTGGTTAATATGTAATGTCCACCCAGTTACTGAGTTCCATGTTTTCAGGGGCTCTCTCTCTTGTATCCTTAATTTTATGATATTTTCTCACATTTCTTTTTGGCAATTAAATGAAATCAGAGACAAAAGTGAACCACAGAAACTGAAAGCATTTATAGAAGGAACCACACAACACACAAACATTACATAACCCTTGTCACTGAGGGAAGAAGCGAAAATAAACCAATACTAGTTGAAGCAATGCACCTTAACATAGGCATCAAAATCAGGCACTAAAACTCGCAATACACATTTTCCAGAGCCGCAAATTTCGAATTTATGGAAAGTAGAGGGAACCTGTCAACAACGGATTTTGGTTACTATAAAAGGAGAAAAGAAAACTCTTACAAGGGAAGGGCTGCGGCCCCAAAAGGAGGTGGACATTATTTTTTTCTTTATTTTCTCCCCTTTGTCCTTCTTTTCCCTGGCTGCATGCAGGATAGACCCTACAAGAGAAGATGAGGGGCCCCGATGCTTTCTTACTCAGTTAAACAGAAAATGCAGGACTACTTATTCATGTAGTGCACAATGCATGAATGCAGTATATTCATAAGACGTCAATTATGAGGACTTCAGCCATTATAATATCTTTAATCCGTAGGATTTAACTTTGAGATATCCAAATGCAACTATCTCGACAAAATGAACCAGACGTGACATGAAAATATTCATTTTATTTGAGTGTTTTGAACACATCATGGCCATTAGGAACTGTTATCAGTACAGATGAGCAGAATGTGAGCAAAAAATATCCATCATGTGTTCTCAGGCCACCAGTTCCTTGCATTACGGGCGAGAAGCAGAATTCTAGCCACAAAGCATTGAATGCAATGTAAAACAAGATTATCTTATCTCAATGACAGCTCGTCCAACAATTTTTCCCTGATTGAGATCTTCAAATGCTTTGCCTGCCTCCTCAAAGTTGTATCTTCTAGAAACAGCATTGGTAAGATTGAAGATACCTGTTTCTGCCAGTCTGACTAACTTAGGAAGATCTTGCCTTGCTCTACCTCCATACGATCCGATAATTTTTATCTACTCAGAGTTGTTGTAATGGTTCATTGCAAGAATGAAAGGCACCAAAAATAATTATCAGTCTAACAGAGAATTTCATAACAGTACATACTAAACTTAGTCTCTACAGTTTGAACTCAGTATCATCTTTCAACCAGATTATTCATGTGAATGCAAGATATTTCAATGAATTGATCCAGCTAAAGCCTTAAACTTGGCTTAAAAGAAGAAAATCAACATAAATAAAAATCATGTAACTTGAGGGGGAAAAAAATAATACCTGTATTTACTAACTCCAAGAGTTTCAATATTTTTACGTTTTGTAAAACAAGTTTAATATAAATTGAGGTATTTTATACTTGGTAACAGATTTTGTTTCAGTGTTAGGAGAACATTAATTTTAAAAGATGCGATGGAAGTTCCAAATAGATTATACAAGGCCAACTTGATTGGAATGGCACAGGTGTATCTTGACCATTACAGTTGAGGCTTGAGAGTAAAAGGAGTTACTTAATAGTTAGAAAGATATATTGAATACAAAGAATATGCACCTTTCTACGAACAAGACGATTTATATCCATTTGTCCTACAGCACCAGCTTGTGCTAGTCCAATCATCACAGCTTTTCCTCCATCCTTCACACTTTGTGTGCACTGGGAGAACGTCTGCGGCTTTCCCAAGGCTTCCACAGCAACATCAACACCTTTTCCACCAGTTATTTCCTGTTGAAATCAGTGTAAACAAAATAAAGGCTCTCTTCAGAGTAAAAGAAATCAAACATCCCAAGGACGGGGCAATTTGCGAATTGAAAAATTGTGTGCGCTTTCCTACTAACTCCATACCTGTGGCTTTGTCCGAAAATAATAGCAAAAATAATTACTAGTAATATTGTGGAATAAGGGTTTACTTTTTGAATCTCACGATGTTGGAAAAAAGAAAGCTTAAAAATAGACGACAAATATGAATAGGAAAAGCTTCATATACAGTTCATGGACCAGAATTTCAAAGGATGTCCCACAAGGAGAATGAGAAGAAACTGAAACTATTAAAGCCAAACAAGTTATGGTGGCAGAATAGAGGAACCAAACAGCATGGGCACTGGGCAGAGTTATTTCAAAGCAAAATATATGCTCCCCATACTTCTGTCTTATCAAAATACACAGAATGGCAATTTTTTTTTATACAGAGGTCCATCTAGCAGGCTTAGAATTAGAAAGACATTGACGCTTTGACAGCCTTCTAAATCAACTTGTTTAACTATTGATTCCTAGTAGACACCTGTGCAAACAAGTCATGAAAAAGGTTCTTTTATGTTCCTACGTAAAATTAAAAATTAAAAAAAAAAACCACGCAGCTTTATTGTTTCAATTAGAAATAATATAGCAGTAATCCTCCGACCTGGCACTGTTAGATCTTAAAAGATTGAATCAAAGGAAAATGCATTTACAATTATCTTTCCAATTGGATCTTCTTGTGCTGCATTCACGGTGTGAGTAGCGCCGAATGTTTTTGCTTTCTCTAGCTTTTCATCCTGAACATCCACAGCAATAATTTCAGAAGCACCAAATGCTCTAGCAATCTGCAAACAGCTGGAAAGGAGGATAAATTCAGCTCAATGTTCTGTATCCCAGGGGTGAATTGGAATACCTATAATCTCCAAAATCATTTTGCAGCATCCAAGGGGTCCCCATAACGAAAGAGCTAAATGTATGATTCCCACAAATTTTTCGATAGGTTTGTATACAATCTAACAACACAATGAGAAACAATCTCATCAATATAGTAATAAGTTCCAAATGCTTAGGCACAACCATATAGTGTAAGATTGGATGTGCTCCGGGGTAAATGGAGTGTCAGTGAGCACAAGCACAGATATTCAGTCACTATAGTTGAGCAGCTATGCTTTCTTTGTTGTCCCCATAACTTTGTTGTAATGTAAGGCAGATGTAATTGACAAAATGTTATTAAGTCTAACTCAAGCAAGCATTTTGTCAAAGAGAACCAAAAGAAAGGTAGTGCGACTGCTAGGTGAAAATTAGACCCTCATCAGGAAAGTAGTTACTTTTACCTAGAACCAACACCTCCCGTTCCAATAACAGCAACAGAATCCCCTGGACGCACCTCAGCTGCATGGGCCATAGCACCATATGCAGTAAAGACGGCACATCCTAGTATTGCAGACTCTGTATATGGCAATGAGTCTGGTAATACGGTCAACGCATTTGCGGGCACAACACAGTATTCCGCAAGCCCTCCCATACTATACATGTAGACTGGTTTTCCTATAAATTATTAATATCAATCATTTTCAGCATTCAATAAAGACCGATACTATCAATGAGTAAGTTTAAAAATGAATGTCATATACATTGCAATCAAGTATCAACTGAAAATAAAACACCCGGGGGGTGGGGGGAGATAATTTTTTTTTTTTTTGGCCACCAACTTGCGGAGCATTGAATTAATCAACTGCAGATGCAATCAAAGGAACATACTTATTTCAGTGAAAGGACCTTGGGTTGTTTTGGTATTTCGTCAGTTCGTCACTCGTGACTAATTACAGTAATAGGTGTAGTGACAGTAAAAGGCAGAGGTGGTCCAGCTGGTGGTACTGCTTCCAGTAGCAAATTATGAAGATGTGTAGTCTACTATAAGCTTTCAGGTCGTTTAGTGGATCATAATAGAGTTCTTCTGCCAATGCTAGTAAAAGACTGGAGACCAAAGTAACTAAGGGAACATTATTAGCCTAAATAACATGTAAATCATATTTACCACTGCCGCGGAGAAACAGCCGAGTTTCACCGTCATAGAGGGTTCCTTTTGCCCGGTTGTAAGCAAAGAAAGCTTCACATAAATCATCATGCCCCTGTTTAGCAGTGGGATACTTGTGACAACATTGGCGAGCAATAAATCAGACAAGGCGCTTGATGCAAATATGCGATGTTACCTTTGAACAGTAAGAACAGTTGCCACAAGGCATAATGAAGGAACCAACGACTCGAGATCCAACGGGAAGCCTGCGAGACAGGATAGCATAATTATTACGACTTTTTAACTTTCCATTTAAGTTGACCGAAGAAAGGGAGCTTAAAGTCAACTGACTAGAACATTAACGAGTAGCAAAAGGACCATTAAACTTCGACTGCTACCTTTCTTTTGTTTTATTGTCTGTGAGAGAGCCATGTTCAACAACTTCGCCAGTTATCTCATGTCCCAGCACGCAAGGACTGGAAAAAGGAATTTCATCTTTTATAACGTGGAGATCAGAGTGGCATACTCCACAACCTGCATGCACAACAAATCACTCGATCATTAACTAATTTAATTCACTCGTTTAAAGCCAAAAATGCTTGATTCTAAGAAACTAAACGAAAACCAGGAGTCTTTAGGATCTGAAAAGGTATGAAAAAATCATCGACGATTCTTGCTGTTGACAATGTTGTCGAAATCGGACTGATCGCAAAGTCGAAAGTCATCAACAACAATGACGAAGAGAAGGAAAAACAAAAAAATTAAGGATTGCCTACCCTTAGTTCTAACGAGAACTTCTCCAGCCTTGGGGCGAGGGATGTGGAATTCCTCCATAGAGAGAGGCTTTCCAAATTCCCAGAATACAGCTCCCCGCATATACGATGGGACTCCACCACCAGAAGCGACCTGGGAGTAAAATGAAACACCCTTTGAAACTCTACGAATAGCATTTTCATTCACAGCCTTATCGATCGGAAAATGCTGAGTCAGCAGCTCACTGAGAAACCATGAGCTAGGGAACTTGAAGCGGCGGGCATTGTGAATGATACTGGTTCTCCGAAGCAGAGCAGTTGCCATGGAGGAATTACACAAATCTCAGAGGTCAAACCGGGATGGATGAGTGAGGCCGATGAAATTGAAGCGGATAGGAACAAGAGATTGAGAATATAGTCGTATTATATATCAGAGCGGCTCCATACTTGGCAAGTCATCATATCGCGCGCGTGCCAAGAGACAAAAATTTTCTCGGGAGAGTTAGCTTTTGGTCCCTATTAATGTGAGGGAAATGGAAGGAAAAAAAACAAAAGAACAAAAAATTTCTGACAAGATTAATTTAAAATATTAAAGAAATAATATTAAAAAATTTTAATTAATTTTTTAATATTTTATGTATTTTTTTTTAATCAAAATCTATAACCTCAGTTCCCTAATTTCTTAAATCAAACTTATTAAAAAAAATTTCTTCCCCTCATATTCCCTCATATCAAACATAGGATAAATTTTAACTTGGAACAACTTAATTTTTATAATTTTAATTAAGTTACCATTTAATCTATAAATTTTATTCACTACAATGCAGTACTTATAATTTTAGTTCATTTAATATTTTAGCCTCTGTATTTAAAAAAAAAATTGTATACTCCATAAAACTTCAAAACTAAAATGTTAAATGACTAAAATTTTAAAGATTGAGGTACTGTGAATTAAAATTTAAGGATTAATTAACAACGTTTAAAATTATAAGGTCAGAATTGCATGGGTTAAAATTTCAAAATTAAGTTATAACTGAGTCAAAATTAAATAGATGAAATGGTAATTTTTTTTCAAAAGATGGCTTCAATATTTTCTCCTTTTACGTATATTTTGATGCAACTGAAACTTTCTTTTTTGCCAGAATTTTTATCCTTGTAACAAAGCTTGACCATTGCATGTTTTTCTATGTCAGTGACGGGAATTTTTGTATTCCCACAAATTTTAAATTCCAGAGTTTTTTTTAAGTAAAATAAATTCCAGACTTTATATGTATGTGTGCGTATATCACATATTTATCTGGTTTTCAAAGCTTTAAATTTAAGGGGATGTAACTTATTCCATCGAGACTATTGGTATTTTTTGAAGCTTAATAATCTAATTGACATTAAACTTTTTTGGGTTAAGGTGTAATTTTAACCCCATCATATTTTTTAGATATAATTTTGTTATTGATCTTTTGAATGGTGTAATTTTGACTTTCTTTTTTTTGGGTGCAATTTTGACCATGAGGGGCAAAATTACATCTAAAAATTAGAGGCAAAATTGTACCCAAAAAAAGATTAGGGGCAAGTTACACTTGAAAAATAAGATCAGGCAAAATTACATATGAGAAATAAGATTAGGGTCAAAATTGCACCTTAACCCAACTTTTTTTTCGAATTTCTTCAAACACGAAGTAGTGAGTTATAATTTTTGGAGAAGAGTACTATTAATATTCAGGATTTTAACTTTATATATAATCATATGGGTGATATTTCTCTTATTTAAAATTTAAAAATACACAATATTCATAAACAGTAGCTCATTATATGTGTGTGTCTGTGTGCGTTTGTGTGTGTATTTTGTTGTGTCAATCATATATTAGTACTCCTTATGCTCTCAAATGTAAAAATTAGATAATTAATTTATAGGCATTAAAAAAATTAGTTAAATTAATTATTTATAACAGTGTATGTTGATTTTTTTAAATTATATTCTTTAATTATTTTATTCAAATTAATAAAACCCGTCTTTAATTCATGCAATTAACCATAAGAGTTTAAGAAAAAAAATTATAAATTCTAAAAAAATAGAATGAGATTTTATATTTAAAATTAACGTTAATCCTCAAACTACTTTTATATTTACGGGAGAATTACAATAAGGTTCTTAAAAAAATTACAAAATAAGTCTTAAAAATAATTATTATTCATTTTAAAATTTGTCATTACAAATTGCTCATATTGTTATTAGGATTTTTTAGTAATTTTTTTAGGGATTTGATTTTAATTCTCCTTATATTTATTATGGAAGGAAGTACTGAAGATTTTCTTTGTTTATGTAGTAGTGTGCAATTGTGCATACCGGTTAGCTTCTCATCTTTTCATTATTTCGAATGAAGCACAAACTCGCATTTAACTTCTAGTGAATAAATTGTCCTCGCTCTGCCTTTTTTTCAGCAAAAACAAGAAGAAGGAAGAAGTAGTAATTTTCAATATGTGTTTATAATCTCTATAATTATTTAGTCTATATCTGAATTCATGTTGAAAATTGTCAACACACTGTTTTGGTGAAAATAGCCTTCTTTTTCTGTTTTGGGTAAAAATAGCCTTCTAAAACTGTGCATAGACATGTAGAAGACCAAGTACACCAAGATGGAAAAATCAACATGTGCTTAGACTAACTAGTGATTTCCAAAAAATGATTGACAAAAGTATAGTCAAGTACAAATAATTTTAAAAAGTGACATTTTGGTTAAAAATAAACAAGGACATTAAATATTGGTTGGCTGTATTTGGATTAGTTTTTGGATATATTTTAATGAAAAGTGAGGTTTTTAATAATAAATTTTGTAAAAAAGTTATCTCAACAATTGAAAATGTTTGAATAATTGTTATAAAACTGCTTTTTCATATTCCAATTATTAGAAAGATATAACTTAATGTGATAGTTTAAAAAAAGAAGAAGAAGAAGAGATTTTGCAATTGAATGGATGATATTTTTGGTATACAGTCCTCTGAGACTATCATTATTTTATTTTTTTTGGAAAAGATGATCATCCTACCTCGGTGGAAAACCATGTCTTTGGCCACTAAAACCATAGTTCCAGCACAATAATCAAATTTTACAACAACAAAAAATTTAAGAGGTGTTAGGGTAAGTGTTCACAAAAACCAATGTTGTGCTAAAATGTGGTTTTCTTTCTTGGGATGTTTTCCAGATAGCAATAAAACCGTGGTATTAAATAAACCTTAACCCTTAAAACTTTAGTTTTTAGAGTACTGGGTACTTGAAAGTTATTTTGATTTAAGGTATAAATTTGCCTTAGAAGTATTCACTTAAGAGTATTGGACAGGTAAAAAAATTTTTTGATGTAAATTTATTTCAAAAGTTTAAAATCATAACAATATTGCCTCCTATGACAAATATTAATAGTCATCACTATTTTAATAGTCAATAAGTTAATTTTTAACAGTATGAGATAATATTATTATGATTTTAAATTTTTGAAGCAAATTTGCATACACAAAAAACTTTCAGGTACCAGTACTGTCGAGTAAAGGCAGATTTGCAATTCAACCTTCTTAATATATAAAAATCAATATTTTAAATTATTAAACTTATAAGAAATGAATTGTATTGAATTAAAGTTTAATGTTCGAGTTGTAATCCGTAAATAATATGAGAATGGAGTTACATCAAGTTAAAGTTTGGAACCTAATTTACTACTGAATTAAAATTATAGGATAGAAAATATTAATTCTTCCAATATTATATAAAAATATTTTAGGAGATCAAGTCATATTTATTAAAATTCAATAATTTACTTATTTTTTTAATTGATTTAAATTAATTAATTAGCTTTTTATGACAAGAGTATCTAACTACTACCTTTGGTTCTAATTCTAACTATAAATAAGATTTTATAATTAGAATAAATATTAACATCTCAACTTTCTCTGCACGTGCGAGCAGCCTTTAGCAGCTGTTTCACTGTTCGCTTTCCCGGCCTGACTTGTGTCCCAGGCCCCCCCTCCGCTTTCAACCTTTATGAAATCTGATAACGTCCCCCGGCCGGTCACCTCATCCTGCATGTTACCGTATTTTTTCAGAAAATCGCGATTAGTCCCCCCCACTAATTATCGCTAAGTGAAGCTGAAACACACAGTACACTTTATGCATTATAAATACAGTACTTCACCCTGTTGTAAATTTTATACATCTATTTTTAATATCTATATAAATTGTATTAAAAATTAAATTTAGCAATAAAAATAACTATCTTCCAAATGTTTTTTAACATAATTATTTAAATTAATTTCTTATTTATACATTTTTTTATATTTAATTTTTCAAAATTCTCTTATATTTTGTATTGGTTAAGGTATATATTTAGCCCTTTAATATCATATAATGTTTCAATTTGGTTCCTTACCTTCAAAAGGTATACATTTAATCTTTTAATTTTTAAATCGTTAAGCTTAAATAATAATTTTTGTAATAATCATAATTATTTGGAAAATTAAACTTAATCTATTAATATTTGAGAATATTTTATTAATATTTAAAATCTCAATGCCATATTTTTGTTAACAATTTTTAATATTAAGGGGCTAAATTGAAACTATGTATATAAAATTAAAGTATTAAAGGTGGACTTTAATTTTTTGTATTTCAACCCTAAAACTGGCTCCATAGTACATGGCACCCACCACACGGCACAAGAGAGCTTTTGAAAAATTGCCTATGACCGGTTGAAATGGCGATTTTCTTAAGTTTTTTAAAATTTATATATTATTACCTCTAATTTTAATTATAAAAATTTATTTATAAATTATAAATAAGATTTTATAATTAAAATCGAAGGTAATAACTGATAATTTTATTAATTCATATTTTTCGCAGTCCTAAAAATACATTATTTACTGTATATATAAAAACGGGATTGATCAATTTCTTAATTGGGTGGATTCTTTGGGCCGAAAGATCAGGGCCCATTATTTATTTGTAATAAAAGCACATTAACACGTGGCAGCAAAGAAATGGGTAGCAGGAGGAATAAAGAAAGTGGCCGGTGATTTTAACAAATGCCAGTGCCAGCATGTCGTCCTTGACTCCTTGGAAAAGAAGTTTTAGCAGTAGAAAGAAAGTTCAGGGTAGGGACATCCTTAGTGGGCGGTGCCGCTTTCGTCGATTAGCTTCCTTCTTCACTCCTTCGCTGCTCTGCTCTCACCACTCAGCGTTCCTAACCATCTTCTCTTTCTGCTATATAATATTTTATTCAATTTTTTAATTCCAGCTATCAACTAAATTCTTAATTCTCTTTTCTGTGTTTTTTTTTCTTCAATCTGTTCCCAGCATCAAAATCCTCTCTCCCTAGCAATAAGGAATTGGTGTAAATTGTTCAAAAAGCTTAAAGCCAACCCAAAAAGAAAAGGAAAAAAAAGCAGTCTGTGAAAAGATAACGGCAGTAAAATACACTGAGTAGCATTTGATCTTCCAGGGAGTCCGTTTCTCTATTGAAATGCTGAAGCTCTTTAGGGCTTACCAGTGCATCTTCGTTTTCTTTCTCGTTCTCTCTGTCGTTGCATCCATCTTCAGAAGTACGTCTTCTTTTCAGCTGTAATTTTCATTCTATTAAACCTCGTAATCTTTGCCGTTGATCAAATTCACTTGCAGTGATCGAAAGTGCTGGTCGAAATTAAATTTTCTACAGTTATATAATCTTGCTGGTACTGAGTTTCTTGTGGGTTTCATTTTTCTTAAACAGAGGAGTGTGCTGTGGGTTTCTTACGTGTCTTAATTGAGATCTGAGAGCATGGTTAAGTTACCTTGTTTCCGAGCTTTATTATGACACCCAAAATATTAATCGTTGCTAACTGGGAATGAAAGTACTGAGCAACGTGAAATTAATTGATCTGAGAGCATAGCTTCTTGACTCATTTTTATTGTGCGTGCGTGTTTTGTTGGAGAGGGTGGCGATATGGTTCTGGACATACCATTATAAATTTTTGCTTATTTTCTTCAATGCTATTCATTTGCTCTGGCATTTGAAATCTGGTGACGTGTGAGTTAATTGACCTTTTAAGTTTTATTGGTTGCAGGATAGTTTATGATCCACTAGCAGTTCCCTATTTGTTTGGTCATCCTACACTCTGGCATTTAACTTAGCACCGCAGACGCGGCATGTAAGTTTCACTGTCATGTCTGGCCTGTTTATTGTCCAGTGAAGGGGGGTTATGTTTTATGGTACAAGTTAAGAATGTTGTGATATCAATCAAGTGAATGATCAATTGCCTTCAAAAGTTCAAGTCTCCTAGATAATTATATAGAACCATCTACAATCTATTATGACATTGAAGTGGGGTTTTGGTCTATACTTTGCAGAAAGATTAAATGTTAAATCAAACCGCATGTCACCCTGTTCTTCTATTAACAAGTAGTAGATGCTAGCTGCATCAAATACAATGAAAAAGTGTCTATGTTAGGTTTCCTAAGATTTGCATTATTCATTATTCCAGTTGTCAATTCTCTCTATCATATGTAGAAGATTTTCTGAAAGTTTTTCTTGTAGCCTTTTATGGACTTCTGTAGTTTGTGTTTTTTCCTTCATCTTCAGCTGACAAAGTATCGAACCTTGCTTTGCTTCTCGTCTGCATCCCCTTCTGTATCATCTGTTCACTTTTGATGTTCTATTCGTAGTTGGATTTGAACCTGAAATAAGATGGCAGCCAAGCTTGTCAAAGCTGCAACAAGTGAAAAACTGGCTGAAACTGATTGGACGAAAAATATTGAAATATGTGAAATAGTTGCTCATGATCAAAGGTGCCCATCTTGCTTCTAACTCTTTTCATGTCATTGGTTCGTTATGATTGATAACTATTCTAGAACATTGCGAAGAGAAATGAACAGTGGATAAATGCCCATGAAGTTATTATCAACGGTATTATATGAAATGTAGTCATCTTGACTGCATCTGTTGTCAAAGTCTTGGTTAAGTGGTGAAAATCTGGCATGGTGATGCCAAACATACTTAATTTGCGATTCTAATTGTTTTCACCACGTGACCATCCCTGGATTGATTCCTGATCCTGGATGACTCTTGTCTGGATTTTGAAATTTGGAACATGGATGAGTCTGTTGATCTGCCAGAATAATTGTAGTACCAAAATTTCAACCACTGTATCTTTTTCTGAATATGCAGGCAAGCTAAAGATGTTGTTAAAGCTATTAAAAAAAGACTTGCTGGCAAAAATCCCAACACTCAACTTTATTCAGTCATGGTGAGTGGTATATGGTAAATTTTCATGACGTACCTGATACTACCTTTAGCACAAACAATAAGCTTCATTATATAACTTCTCTCATATACTTACTTCGTATATCGTAAAATCACTTTTAAAACCATGGTTTGGTTTTCACTCAAACACCAACCAAATTGCTGTCCTCTTCTATGGCACCCTACTAAATCAGCTGTTCATTTTTTGATTTTCTAGTTATTGGAAATGTTGATGAACAATATTGGGGATCCTATTCATAAGCATGTGGTTGATATGGGAATTATTCCTATTTTGGTGAATATTGTGAAGAAAAAGGTGATTTTTTCCCAACATAAACTCGTCTTTTAGGAGTATTTTCTTTTCTTTTCTTTTTTTGGCTGACCCCATTATTTTTGGCATTTTCTTTGCTTGCAGTCAGATTTGCCTGCCCGTGAGAGGATCTTTCTCCTTTTAGATGCCACGCAAACATCCCTTGGCGGTGCTTCTGGAAAGTTTCCCCAGTATTATAATGCATATTATGATTTAGTGGTGGGTGCAAATATGAGAAGTAAATCTAGAATTATTTGATTTATCAGTGCTGGCTGGGCCTTGTCACTTGGCATAGTAAGAAAGGCGAGAATTCTTTAAGCCCCATGACATTGAAAATCTTAATGACTTAATACAGTGTTTGGTTCTTAGAATGACAGCGTGGGTTGTAAAAAGCTTGTTTAGTATGCCTTAATCGCAAAGCCCAAAGCTGCCATCTCAAGGAGAAGTATTTTTAATTTTGTATTTGAACAGGATTATTAAGGTGTTACAAAAGGTTGCACAAGATATTTGGGTGTCGATTTTTGTATTTTTATGTAATTTTTAAAAGCCCCCTTTTTATGGTTTTTCCCCCCTCTTACTTGCTAACGGATATTTGCCACCCACACAGAAGATGGCTTTCGCCATCTTTATATTACTTCCATGTGATGCAAGTGGTTGTACAACTTTTCCTCCCTTTTGTCCATGCTAAATCATTGTAAGTTTTCTGAATAGTTCTGACTGCAATCTATGTATACTTTATATAGAGTGCTGGCGTGAAATTTCCTCAAAGGGATCGTGTGGTGCAATCAAATCATCCTAGTTCACAACCTACTAAGATCAGTAACGTACTGAACAGGGAGTGGGGCTCACCTAGAGAAGAAGGAGTTGCTCAGCAAGCAGAGTCACAAACTGTTCCTGAATCTAGGTGACTTTTGCTTTTTGGTTCTAGTGTAATATGACAACATATTCAGCAAACATTTTATGGCAATGTCATTTTCCGCGCACTATATGGTCAACTTGTGTTTGGTCAATAATAGTGAGTCAGTCCTCTACGTACAGTGTATTGAATTGGATAATCATGACATGAATTTTAATTGGGATAGAGATTATTGTAGTAAAAATCAGAGAAGCTTCTGACTTTGCGGCCAAGTGAAAAGAGAAAAATGCCAAAATGTAATTTTGGGTGGATTCCTTTTTTCTTTCTTGTGGATTTTGGTCAAATCATAGTAGAAATTGAGTAGTGATATGGGGACCTCGCTGTAGGGAACTCTTGGAAAAATATATTCTTCTAGAAAGTTTGTTCTTATTGCCATTTTCATTTAGCAGAGTACTTAATTCATCACATATCTTGCAGTATTATTCAAAAGGCGAGTAATGCATTAGAGGTTCTAAAAGAAGTCCTTGATGCTGTTGATCCCCAGCATCCTGAGGTATGCCAATGATCTGTCATTCTGACAGTTTGTCATACAAATGCACTTGCTCTATAAGTTTGTTATAATAACTTCAGCCATGCCATCATCGTCTTCTTTCTTTTTACCTCTTCCTGGTGCTGATGCTATTATATCCAGAAATCTCCGTGGGAATATAATAAAATACTTAGCTTGTACCAGAATTTGTAGGCACAAAGCAGAAAACAAGAAACCATCTTGGTGACTTGTTAAGATTACGAGCCATCTAAAACATTAAGATGGCTGCCTCCTAAGAAATGTCTGAAAGTATAGCTGTTATATTTTATTTAACATTTTAATGAGTAGCAATGATGCTAAAACCTTATCTTTTCTTTTGACTTTAGGGAGCAAGCGATGAGTTCACCCTTGACCTTGTAGAACAATGTTCATTTCAGAAGCAAAGGTTAATGCATCTTGTGATGACTTCTCGGTGAGAACACAAGGCTACCTTAAACTTCTCATTTCTGCTTTTGGCCTATGTAGAGAGAGGCTTAGGTTTATGAGCTGTATGCCGCACAGCATTGGTATTAATTCTGAGAAAAACATTAGTACTTGCATGTTTTATTGAATTATAGTTATTTGTACCTTAAACATCTTTTATCCTTGGTTTTTTTGTCTTCTTTTTTCTTTTTGGGTAGAGACGAGAAGATAATTTCTCAGGCAATTGAATTAAATGAGAAGCTTCACAAAGTACTTGCAAGACATGATGACCTTCTTTCTGGTGGAGCTACAGCAGCTGGTAATTGTTTTGGCCATGATGAACCAGAGGAAGAGGAGCCAGAACAGTTGTTTCTTAGGTGCCTTGCTTGTTCTTCGGACTTGCTATTTTAATTCCCCTTGTCATGAAGGGCGAAATTTTTTTCAGTCCAACCGACCAACCCTTGTCTGATTGTCTGGCAGATTACGGAAAGGGAAGGCTTGCGTACGGGCTGAAGATGAAGACACTGCACCCCAGTACCCTGACTTGGCTTTGCTTGAAGAAAGACTGAATCGTCCACTAATAAGGCCGCTCTCTCTAGAGCCATCACGAGAACCTAGTCCTGGTTCTCTTCCCGCTACAATTCCGCCTCCTCATGCAAAAGGCGTCAATAGAGAGCCGCCTGTTGTTGCCATACCACCACCACCTGCAAAGCACATTGAGCGGGAGAGATTTTTTCAGGAAAAGAAGACGGATGGTTCTCCTCTGGCGGGGCACATGAGGGGCCTCTCTTTACATAGTTTAAATGGCAGCAGCTCTCACAGTGGAAGCTTTGATTCCAGTGACTAGACTTCTGTTTTATCTTTTAAATGTCTAGTTTGAATTTTAAGCTGTGAGAGGATGCTGATTTCTGATTTAGTCCTGGTGGGTTACGTTATGAGAAAGGAAGAACACATCCTCTTGGAAAGTGCATGTAGGGAGTTTTCTGAGATCATATGCCATGACCTGAGATTTGTAATTATTGCTAGTAGGTGCAGGTTTGTTCTAGTGCTTTATTTTCTAATTTGTTGGGATCTGTATCTACTTTTCCCACCTTAGTAATTATTCCTACAAAGTCATAACTGTCTAGTAGGCCAGGGTTTGCTTCTTACCGTGTTGTAAGCTACTTCGAAATTTTCTGTTGTGTTCGGTTTGGATTTTGTCTCGGCTCTCTGCTCCTTCCTCTACGTCACAGTCAAGATATTTATATGCAACAGTTAAAAATTATTTATTTATTCAAATTCTAAATGCAGGAGTTAAATAATTAATTTGCAAAATTAGAAAAATTAATTTAGTTAGTTATTTGTGAAAAAATATGTTAATTTTTTTAAAGTATTTTTTTAAATATGAATTGAAGGAAAAATTATAAATTTGAGAAATAGAATGGGTTATGTTTTTAAGTGTAGAAGAAAAAATTCTACCCGCTCTTGTATTGTTATTACAATGACAGTAATTGAAATATGATGTTGTAGATCTTTGTCTTGTTTTTATCGTCACATTCATGTCAATCATCATAGTATTTAGATCAAATCATAGTTTGAAAAGTGTTTTTTATGGTTTACGAAGTAAATATATAGAGGAGTTTGTCTCATTTTATGAAAAAATACTTCTAAGAAGTATTTTTCAATATTACCAAACATCCCTTTAGTGTTCTCAGTATAAAGTGGCGCATACAGGAGAAAAAAAAGTAAAAGCAAGTATACATCCATGCATATACATGTTTGCAACTGGGGGACGTATCGATCTTTTTGTACTTTTTAGTTTGTTTTTCTTTTTCATTCAAATTAATTTGTTTAATGTTTAGCATTCTTTTGTCTATATTGAATTAATCATTCTAAATTAACAATGAGCATATAAATTAATACACCAACATATAAAGAACTCAAAAAGTGCAATGGGATTTAAGCTTCTAATCCTATAAATTAAGGAAAATGATTTAGGATTCCCAAAAAACAAGAGTATTAAAACCCTAACTACACGATGTCAAATTTTCACCACAAAAGTGACTAGAATAATCTCGGGATTTATTGATAAACTTGCTTATCGAGTCTTATCACTATTGCCAATGCGTGTGAAGTTTTCAATGTTGTCTTGAAATTCAAAACCTTTATTACTATGCAACATTTTCACACTAAGGTCAAAAAAAACAAAGAAATCTAGGCAAAACAGAGACTTGCAATAAACAATAAAAAAAGTGTGGGGTGGCGTGGCTAAGAGCCCTGATGTGACAACGGAAGCCCCACTCTCCTTGGTAGCCCACTTTATTTCCACCTGTCAAATGGGATTATGTATTTAATTCTATCTTGAGATCCTAGAACTTTTCAATCTGTACAGCATAATTGGTACCCCGACGCCCTGGCTCATCTTAATCACTTCACTCTTGTGCGCTTCCGGCAAAAGAGGGATCTGAGTTCTTCTTCTTCCTCTGCTCTGTAAAAATGAAAGAAACAATAGTTTTGTATCCAGCTCCAAGTTTTGCTCACTTGGTCTCCATGGTTGAACTGGGAAAGCTTATCTTGCAACACCAACCCCATTTATCCATACTCATCTTGGTCCCATCCATGCCTTCTGATCACTCTACTTCTGCTTCTTCATCATACATCAGTGATCTCTCCCTAACTGGGATTCCCATGTCTTTCATTTATCTCCCTTCCCTCCAAGTTTCAGTCTTTGATTCTGTCGCCATGAATGCTCTTAATGTTCTTGATGCCCTCAAAACTTTATCTTCTTCCTTCACTATTTTGGCTCTTGTGACCTCAGCTCCTCATGAAAACTTGAAGACCCACATCCCCACTTTCTGCTACTTCACCTCATGTGCTTCTGCTCTGGCTTTCTTCCTCTACTTACCTACCTTGCATAACCAAACCAATAAAAGCTTCAAAGATCTCACAGAGACTCCTTTGAATTTTTCTGGTTTGCCTAATTTTCTCAGCGCTTCTTCCGCCCCTGAACCTGTGCTGAGTCGAGAGGGCCCCTCCTACCACTTCTTTCTTAGTTTTGCTTCTTCTCTTCTGAAATCTAAGGGAATCATAGTGAACACCTTCAATTTTCTTGAACCCCGAGCTGTTGAACCTATGAAAAATGGTGTTTGTGCCCCAAATGATCAAACCCCACCAATTTTCTGCATTGGTCCATTGATTACAAGTGCGAGAGATCATGCTATTTCCAGTTCCTCTTCTGAAGACGAAACATCTAATTGCATAGCATGGTTAGATAAGCAGGCAAATAGAAGTGTTGTGTTCTTGTGCTTTGGAAGCAAGGGAGTGTTCTCCGAAGCTCAGATAAAAGAAATAGCTATTGGTTTAGAAAAGAGCAACCATAGATTCTTGTGGGTAGTGAAGAGTCCTCTGGGTCTGGACACAGAACCCAAATTGGAAGAACTGTTACCAGATGGTTTCTTAAAGAGAACCAAAGAGAAGGGTCTAGTTGTGAAATCATGGGCCCCACAGAATGCCATTCTGAGGCATGAATCAGTAGGTGGGTTTGTGACTCACTGCGGTTGGAACTCAGTGTTGGAAGCAGTGAGCTATGGAGTGCCAATGGTGGCTTGGCCATTGTACGCAGAGCAGAACTTGAACAGTGTGATTATGGTGAAGGAGATGAAAGTGGCCATACCTATCATAAGTGAAGAAGCAGCAAGGGATGGAAGCAAACTAGGGTTGGTCGTTGCAGAGGAAGTGGAAAGAAGAGTGAAGGAATTGATGGAATTTGAAGAAGGGAAGATTCTGAGACAGAGGAGTTTGGAGATGAAAGCCAGGGCCATTGCTGCTTGGTCTTCAGGTGGCTCATCTTCAACCGCATTTCATGACTTGGTAAGCTCTTGGAAGCATGGTTGACCAAGAGGTTTGGTTTCCGCTTTTGAAAACTAAACATCTTTGCATGTAGATTTTAGAAGTCAGAGTTATTTGGGTAATTTGTTTTCTTTCACCAAATCCATTTACAAATGCTTCTAAAAGTCCATTTGTCAAAAGTTAATATGATTGTTTCCTAGAACTGTTGAATTTTGAACAACTTTCGATTACTTTTCAGTAGTAAAAATTGGTTTGGATTACTTTCTAAATAACTTCCATGTTATCAAACTAAGTTTTTTAGAAATGTATCCTACTATAAATTCTTCTGCAATAATTAACCTTTAAGGGTTGACTTCTGACAAACTGAAAACCAAACGTACATTTGGAACTGATATATTTGGCCTTCGTCACCTCAAAAATCACCTTGATAGGGCCAAAAGATATATTTGGCTTTGGACTGACATTGGAGTCAAATAATTTTTCTTTTCCAAAGATCAAATCAGACCTGAAGTCACATTATCAAGCATTTAGAGCTGTAAAAGCCAGATGAATATAGGGAAAATCATAGAAAAAGATCTTGAAATCTCTCTGTATGCAATTTTTCAATTTTTAAAGTTTTTGTTTCCATAAATATATAAAATAATTATTTTATAAAAATATATAAATATAAATCACATTATATTAATTAAATTTTAGCCAAATTTCAATTTGAAAAATACAATAAAAATAAAAGTCACTTTTCCACATATTAACCCAAACAAATCTCTACTCTCCACGCTTCATTTAATACTACTTCATTTTAATATTTTTGATAGATTTTAACTGTAATAGACATGGGATTTAAAATATAGATAATATTTTGCTTACCCAAAAAAAGGAAGATAATATTTTAACCATCATTTTTTGTGGAAAAAAATTGAATTATTATCTTAAAAATTCATTACTAGGTATGTTGAAATTGAACTCGGGATTGTCAGCCCTTGCCTATGAGATTTTATATCATATATTGAGATTAAAAAAGAAAAAATTAGCTAATATTATTTGTTATTAATTTTATTTTTTTATAAATGATTTTTTCACTCTTACGTATCAACAAAAGAATTACAACAAATAAAAGGAAAATCATCAATAAATCTATATACTTATACCTTGTGAAATCTTTAGAAATAAAAGGAAACATTAACCTTCAAAAACAAAGGAAATTACCTTAGAATAAGCATTGGAATATCGTTCGCCTTGTACAGGAAATAAAAGTATTTTACTTAATAAAATTCATACCCTTTTAAACCTTTTAATCATTTCACATTTAAACCTATTTTACAATCAATCATTCAAATAAATTTTAGTTTGTCAGGATAATTTTTTTTTAACAAAAATCGATCCAAATAATTTATAATGTCATAAAACATCCGAGAGAGTGCTGGGAAGACTAATATTAAGATAATAATACTTATAAAACTTTTGGTTTTTTCAAGGGTTAATATTATTTTTAATTCTTAAAATTTGATCTCATTTCAATTTATTTTGGTTCTTGAAATTTGAAACCAATAGTTTTGATTCTTAAAATTTGATTTTATTTTGATCTCGTTAAAGATTTTTGGTCTATGAAACAGTGTTTTTTTGTCTCTGAATAAGGTTTTCAAAAATCAAAACCACTAGTTTTAAATTTTAAATATCAAAATTAAAATAAGATCAAATTTTAAGCATTAAAGATGATATGAATATCTTTTTAAAATTATGTGTAAAGTTGAGTAATTATATGAAGCGAAAAGGACAAATAAATGTTGGAAATTGTGCCATAGGGACTAATCATTGTATTATGAACATTTTTGATTTATGAATTTTTTAATTATGTTATCATATTATTTGCATGTTTACTGTGATGACTATCCTTGGATAACTCATGATTTTATCCTAAATGTCTCTGGTCGGTCATCTATGTGGAAGCAGAGATAAAAAGACCAGTATGACTTTGAAAATGTATGAGATACAAATCAAAGTCATAGGCACATGTAAGAGTACAAGGTGTTGGACCGACCTGCTATGAGAGAGCTGCATGGGTTAAGTCATAAGCTTCTCTCATATACAAACCATGTCACTATGCCCTTTGACCTGAGATCATCATGGATTCATACATGAAAAACGCTCAGTTTTGACCTAGTCAAAAGTCACTTTTGACCAAGTGATCATAAAGACTATGTTCAGGCTTAGTGGTTTTTTATATGGAGGAATGTGAATGGTCAAGATGGAATTTATCCCTCACATTCGTAGAGAGATGTTACTGGGCCCCTTGATGAGTGAGTTTGAGAAATGTATAACCATACTATAATAGAAATGTAGTTCCATTTCTATACTCAGACTACTCAGGGATCGAGAAAGTAACGATCAGAAATAGGAGGATGACATTCTCCATGCCTCGTCCATGACCAAAATGTCGTGTGACAAAAGGGACGTGATATGGTTGTATGAAAAGTTACATCGTTCATCGATCCTCATATGATTTGGGTAGTCGTGATGTCTTGCTAGAGACCGTTTACGACTTGTGAGTCATTATAGTAAATGGCCCACTGCCAATTTCATATGGGCCTACAAGGTCACACACAAAATAGCCCAACACGAGCTATGATGTCCAGATTCATTGATCTAAGATATGTCCACATTCAATGAATAATCTAGGGTGGACGTGTGTATATATATATATATATAAATTCGCGTATATATATTATATGATATAAGAGATATTTAAGATTTGATTTATAAGGATAAATTAAATCTATATCATTTTTTAAAAATTGATAAGGTATAATATCTCAAATTTGATTTATTAGAATAAGTCAAATATAATTCCGTCATATCTTTATTTTGAATTAAATGAATAGGTGAATTAAATCTGTAGGACGGATTTAATATACAAACCGTATTTATTTAATTGATTTCTTATCAGATTACGCAATATATGATATTGTATTAATTTCGGAATTAATTTAGGATTAATTCCGAAATCCAATGTTTTTCATAATACCGATGGCATCCTATATATTTGATATTAGGAGCTAGGGTTTTGTGTGGATGAGAATGCAAAAGGTTTGTAGATAAGAAATGGCTAAAAGAGAGAAGGTGAGGACGGATTCTCAAAAACCCTAAAAGGACAAGAGGCCCTAGCACGTCGTTCGTGATTGAAAGCTGTTCGTGTGGATACCGGTAGAGGAAGCCGATCTGAGTTGTCGACTTCTCACGAACAAAAGGAGAGCATAGGCATCCCGAACGTCGAAGTCCCCGAGCCACCAACGATTAGAATACCGCAGGTAACACCTCTTACCACTTGACTTAAACACAATCGGTAAATTCAGACAAGGAATTGAAAATTTTAAAGTTTTTATTTTCTGCTGCGTGTCTTTCAATTCCTTACAATAAATACCTTCAAAATATCAAAAGCCTAATTCAGTGATCCTCAGCTGAGTGTTCAAGTACTAATTTGGGATTTACAAATTTTGTAAAAAGACCTCACTACCGTTGATTCTTTCCTCCATCGTTCTTGCTCTTCTCTCCTTGCTTGCCCTATTCTTTCCCCTCCTTAGTCCTCCCACTACGACACTCATCCCCTCACGGCCACAACACTTTCACTAGCAACCACTTCTCTATCAGCTGCGACACCTTTATCAGCAACTTGTCATCATTGCCTCCCTCTCCCATCATGTTTCGGTATTTCTCACACCCTCATGTAACAATTCACTACAAACAATCAACAACCTTCAGGCTTTCCTCGATGCAAATTCATCACTGCGTCCTCCCTTGTTTTCCTCTGCCAACAGCTTCCCTCGTCCGAGTTAATCAGATTATCTGTCATTGTCTTACTGATTCGTTGTCATTTGCTATTAAATTGTAGTTAATCATATGTTTGTTCTAGTCATTTACTAAAAACAGAAAAAATAGAACTTGTGACTATTGTGTAATTCGCTATTTACTATATTTAATTTGCTATTTACTACTCTTATTTAGTCTATTAGCTTATTACTCCATCTTTGGCGAAAGAGAGATGGCAGCTCATCAGGTTAATGCAAGTATGTTAGAGGCTGAAGAAAGCTTAAAGATTGCAATTAAAGTGAAGTATGTGTTTTATATTATTCCTGTAATTAGTTGGGAAAATAGTGTAACTTGGCTTATCTAAGATGCTTTCTTTGATCCAGTGAGTTTTGGGACCATGGTGTTGGCTTCTAATAATTCAAGTGCCCTAAATGCAAGGAACCCACCATTGTTGTTAATGCTCGATATAACATAGAGAATTTTGTTACTGTTATGGAAAGTCTAATTTTTAGTCAATGATTAAAGCTAGGTTGTTAATAGCCATACCATTATTGTTTTTAGGAATAGTTATATATTCAATCTACTTGTGTAATATCATATTTTGTACGTCATTTACCAATCAAGTATAATAAATAGTAAGTAAAGTGTAGTAAACCACTAATGTAAAACTATTTACTTAAGCTTCATTAGCAATTTACTACACTTAGTTAGAAAATGACAACACATTTCAATCAGTTGCCTAACTATACAATTTGCTGAAATTGTGTTGTCATTTGATGATTCAGTGTAGTAAATAGTGAATAAAATGTTATCATTTGTTATTTTCATTTAGTTTAACAAGTTTGAAATTTGGAAAAAGTAGTTGTCAATTGCTAAACCATTATGGTAAATGGCTAATGAGGTTTAATGAATTACTCAACAAAAATTATAAATAGCCTAATTTATTTATTTCAATTAACAAGGTTGAAATTTGAAAAACGTGATTGGTAATTGTTAAACCACGATGATAAATAGTTAATGTGACGTAGTAGATATTTTAACAAGGTTATGTATGCTTTTCAAACTCTTTGCTGCGATTTTGGGAATAATTATTTAGAAGAAGAATAATCAACTATCTTCATTACATGTTACCAATTGGTTAGAACCGCTGACAATTCTACCAAATAGATTAACAACAGTTTTATATGTATTGATAACAAGTGATCTTCGAAATTCATTACAAGATAAACCAATGATCAAACTTAGACAAATCACATATTGCTTTTTTGGTTAGAGCCGGTGACAACTCTTTCATATAGAGTAACCATACTTATATATGTATTGACAACAAGTAATATGTGAGATTCATTACAACACAAACCAATAGGAAACTTAGGCAATCATATGTTGCCTTTTAGTTAAGATCATTGACAACTATTTCTTAAAAATTAATAACACCTTTATATAAATGGACTACACTTAATCTGCAAAATTTATTATAAGCCAAACCAATTGTCAAACTTGGACAAATCACATGTTGTCAAAGTAAGTAAAGATGTGATAAAGGTTAAACAAAGTGAAAATTTCAAGTCCACATGTTGAAGTAAATTGAACAAGTGTAGAATAAGTATAGAGGAAGTGGGGTCCACAAGTTCATTGAATATAACAAATTGCCATTAATGACAAAAAGATAGCTATTAACAACTCAGTGTAACAATCGACTACATAAATAATTTTTATTAACATGTATGATTGTTTAGGTATGCCATGTATTTTTTCCATTACCTTGAATTGATATGCTTGCTTATATGTTATATTCATCTCATAATCTCTTTTCAACGTTGTCATTATTTCACTTGAATGTTTGTCAGTGTGATTGCTTACTTAGGATGAGGAAGACGAAATGGAGAAGCAGTAGACAATAAGGGAACTAATGGAGGATGAGGGATGGCACTTGGATCAGGGAGTGTGCAGGTCAATGGTGCAATTGGGTGGAAGCTTTGTTGGAGCCGAGAGAAAAGAGAAAAAGGAATAGAGGTTGAAGAAAAATGAAAAAAAGGTTAATCGGAAACAAGCAGCCCTCTGCCGTCAGCAACCCCTCTAACCTTTACCTTCGAGTCCAACGAGCATGTGCAAAGCCGGTAAGATTGTTGTTGGAGAGGGAGAGAAGGATGGTGGGATCAAAAGGGATTTCAGATTAAAAATAAAGCAGGGATAGTAATATAATCTAACAACATTTTTAAACTCTAATTTAGTAATTGAATATTCATTTGGTATTTGTGAAATTGGATGCATTGATTTGGGATTTTTATATTTTAAAGGCATATATGGGTCTTTCCCTTGTACGAAACCCAGGGGGTTAAAAATTGAATGGTGAATGTTGTTTCCACGAGTACCTAACTTCTGCCTTCTTAGATTCTCCAATTATCCGAAACCTGCAGAAGAACCAAAGATAAAGCGCTTCACAATATAATGCCACGTGGCGTCCCTCTACGTCTCACAATTTTTCTCACATATAGCCACAAACCCATCGCAAAACCCATTATCTCTCCTTTTAACGGAAGAAGCACCCTCCATAGTATAGTCTAGAGCTTCTCTATAATGGCAACCTCCACCGCCGGCGCCGTCGTGAGCAGCTCCTTCCTCGGCAGACAGCCCACCACAAGCCTCCGTTCGGCGCCTAAGCTTCAGGCTATGTTCGGCGTCGGAACGAAGAGTGGCCGCCGTGGGATCCGAGGGCGCGTAACGTGCATGGCCGCCTTCAAAGTGAAGCTGCTAACTCCAGAAGGCCCAAAGGAATTCGAATGTCCTGACGATGTTTACATTCTGGACCAAGCTGAGGAAGTTGGGATCGATCTTCCATTCTCGTGCAGAGCAGGCTCGTGTTCGTCGTGTGCAGGGAAGTTAGTGGAAGGAGAACTTGACCAGTCCGATCAAAGCTTCCTCGACGATGAACAGATTGACGGAGGATGGGTTCTTACTTGTGCCGCTTACCCTCGATCTGATGTGGTGATCGAGACCCACAAGGAGGAGGAGCTCACCGATTAATTAATCAAGCATTTTTTTGGTTTCTGGGTTTCATTTCATGTCTGTATGAATCATGAATCGATATATGTATTCACATGTTCTTGTTCTGTGAGCTTGATTAAGAGTCATCTTGTGGTTTGGCTGTCGCTGTGATGAGTCTGGATGAAACTGGATGATCAATGAATAATAATGTCATAGTATATCTGCTACTTCTGCTGCAAATTTAGGTACCTGCTGTTTTTATCCCATAGATTTTATTGTCATAGGATTGAGCAATTAGATCACAATATACCGGGGGATGATTTGAATGATGTCATAATTATGAAATTTAATTCTGAACTGTGGTTGAGTTAATTGTAGACACGAGAGTAAACATCTTAGTATGTCACTAATGGTATGAAAACTTTCTTATGATTAGATTAGAAGGAGTGCAATAAATTGAAGCCTAGTAAGTGGGAGGATGTAATTTCGATTCTGTTTATAATGTCATATCATTTGTGTCGGTCCTTCTAGTTAAAGAAAAATTAGTAGAATAGAAGGCAGGCTTCTCCAAGTGATGCTTGTTGAATTGAATCTGCATTAACTTTTATTGGACTGATGATTAATGAGCCGCGTTCATTGTCAGATGGTATACTTCTATTCTGTTTATAATGTCATATCATTTGTTCAACATTTTTGTGTATTTAAAAATGCTAAATGCACATGAAACTTGGCATTCTCGTTCTAAAGGTACAACTGAGATTAGGAACGTTTAATTCCACAAATCAAACACAGTTTCGAGTTATCGGAAGCCACTCAATTCAGCTCATTATCATCATGAAATCTAACTGGCCTTATAAAGGGAAAAGACCTTTTTTTTTTCCTCATAAGTTACTCCATTAAATATTTGGCATGAATATACTATCTTATATTATTATTTTCTTAAAAAAAATATGTATTAAATAGAGATAAAACTAAACATTTGTTAAATTTTAAGACAAAACTAATAACATTTAAGATTTTTTTTAATTCTGATAAAAACATATTGAAATTAACGTATAAATAGTACGAAAGAGATATTGCTTTTTGGAGGCAAAAGAGGGGGGGGGGAAGAAATATAAAACTGGTCATTCCCATCATGCAACAAACTCTTCATATTTATAAGATAAAGGGGGACGTCTTTTTTTTTTTTCAATCCTATGTATAAATTATATTATTAAATACTAATCATAAATGCACTATTTTACCAGCTGCTTATTATGGTGTATCCAATTATAAATTCTTCTACAATCTTCTAAAACTGGTCATTCCCATCATGTAACATACTTAAGATAAAGGGAGACGACTTTTTTTTCAATCCTATTTACAAATTACATTATGAAATGCTTATCATAAATATACTATTTAGCAGTTGCTAATTATGGTGTATATTATTGTGTTCTTGGAAATATATGTATACACACATTAAAGAGGGATAAAATTAAAAATTTGTTAAATTTTAAGATAAAGTTGATAAAATTTAAAATTTTTGTTAATTTCAGCAAAACTTATAGATGGTACTCAAGGAAACATTGCCTTCAATGCACGAAAGCTCCCCACAAGGCTCCCACGCTATCTTCAAAATTTATCCTGACGTTAAAGTCAACACGAAATTAAAACTCTCAACAAGATTAGAGCAAGTGATTGAATGTGTGTTTTTCACAGCCTCCTTTTGCCTCTTTTTATGTTTTTTGTATCAGTAACATATTGCTAGATCATGTCAAGACCCAAACAAAGGGGAGTAAATATAACGCTAACGCAATGATGTCTTTTGTCCTTTTCTAACTGGCATGCTGCTTGGCCTGTATAAACCAATATCTAAGTTAAATATTCATGGGAATGGATACACGGGCGTCGGCTAATAATGTCCCCATAGATATCATTATTGCAACAACTGCTTTCGGCTAAAAGCAGCCGTGTAGGTTTCCCACGTCACGAAACCCAAATAACAATGCTTATAACAAAACTGAAGCTCTACTTAGAGACACAGGCTTTTTGTTACAATTTTACTATACATTTTTCCTTCTCTCTTTATATCCCATCCACAAATAGTGCAGTGCTGTGCTTAAACTTGACTTGGTAAAATCAACACTTGATTTTCAAGCAGCATAGTGTGGAAAGATATGGCATGCTTATACGAACAAAACTAGACTCCATTGCCTTTTAATGGCCGGGGGGGGGGGGTTATTCACCGAAACAAGGGCAATATTCCCCACTGGTGCAGAAAACCCTCGCCTGTAGTGACTTCTAAAAACAACAGAAGAAGCACAGCCAGCATCGCTGCTCTTCCATTCCATGTTTCAGCACTTTTTGTCCAACCCCATTCCCATACCATTACTGGTGGCGGCAGCTCCCGGCGTTGAGAGTCATATGCTGCCAATAACTCTTCTACGCTTCCCAGTGGAACCAGAGACTGCCAAAGAAACCAGATTTTCAATTACATCACAAGTTTAAGGCATGCGTGCAACTGACAATTTGAATTTGATATTGCCAAATCAATTTACTTGATTCAAAATCACAAGATGATGACAGAACGGTTTAGAGGAGAGTATAGAGTCTTGGAGAAGTTAAATGAGTACCTGCCGCGCTTCAAGATTAGAAACTGCCATGGCACCAACATATGGGAGGGACTCAATTACAGCATCTGCCAAGTCTGAGATGAAGGTGGATTCACATCCCAGAGCAGGAACACGGCCCCAATTTTTTATGCCAGATTTTAGAGCCAATTCTTTGTATTCAACATCAATTTCTTCTAGTGTTTCAATGTGCTCACTGACAAAGCTGTGAATATAGCACATAAATGACAGGAATATATGAGATAAAGAAAGAAGCCAGAAATCATAAAGATACGTGTAAGGTAATATCACAAAAACAAGAAGGCTAATATTACCTAATTGGTACAGCCAGCAGACTTTTTACTCCCTTCTTTCCAAGATCAATAATCGTCTCATCCGTATAAGGTTTTAACCATTCCACTGGTCCAACTCTACTCTATAACAATGATTACACTTGAATTTCAGTGTCAAAATCATGCTTTGAGGGTAGGATAACATTGCTAGGTCTACTAATAGACAGAGATCAATCTATCAGCACCATTCTAACAATTAGAATTTCCATACCATGTTTCATATATTTAGATACTGCAGCCTGCAGGCCAGGAAGCATGCAACGCTTCATAGTATAAACCAATAATGCCTATTGGTTTATTCAGAATTACAAGAGATCGAATGACCCAACAAAGTACCTGATAAGCAAGGGTATAGGAATTAGTTATGTTCCTTTTCTCCAGTTCTTCCATAATCAAATCCACACATTCCTCCATCTCTGCCTTGTATGGGTCACCAGCCTCTTCCACATATGCAAGCGGCACTCCATGCGCACTAAAGAATATCACCACCTGTTATCAGAATTTCAATTACTAAGGAAAATAGGCATACAGACAATTGAACGATTCCCAAGCACAAGCATAAGAAGAATTATTCTTCAGGAAAAGCTTAAATGACAACATATAAGGAAGTAAGAGAACAGCCACGTTTTGTTAATAGGCACAATTTTTTCTCATGAAAACCAACCAAAAAGGTTAGCATAGTGCATTTCATAATATCTCAGACACTCTGAAGGTCAATTTACTAGTACTACAGTTATTTACCCAGAGATAGATAAGACATCAACTGCAAAAGTTATGCTGTCATTTATTTTTCTTTTTTGGGTGAAAGCTGTCATTATTATTTCGATCAAATATGAGAATGCTAACAGGAAAAAAAAATCAACATGCCACAGAACAAAATCCTTTTATCTGACTCACTAAATCATAAAAGATGCAGTACCTCCTTTGGGTTCTCAAAACCATTTAACTCATTCTCAATCAAATTTGCCATGGCCTTTATGTATCCTTCACGCTGGTACCACGAAGGTATTACTGTGTGCTGCATGTTGACTAGATACTCATCCTCGCTGAAGAATCATTTAATATTTAATAATTTAAAATTATAACAGAATGTCAGTCTATATCTTGGAGTATCATGATGTGATAACCGTAGAATCTTTTAGTGGTTACCGGAATATACTCTCCAGGAGACGTAAGCTTGAACCACTGGTTGATATTGAAAATTGTGGATAAAGTGGAAGAACAACAAGCTTTGTAATCCCATCTTTTTTAATCTACATGGTGCGTTTTGAAGGAAAAAATTACTTATAATCAAGCAGCAACGAAATCCCAAAAAGACAAGAACAAATAAAATTGTATTGGTTACTTCAGAAAAGTACAATACGATGTCATATTATTTTGAACTAATCTGAAACATAATTAAGTATAGAACTCCGATATAAGGGATCATCAAAGAAATATCAATATGCAGAAAAAGCAATAGCTGCATAAACGCCATCAAAGTTAAAACTCAGGAACATATCAAACTTTTGAATGTTCTACCCTTTTGTTATACTATCTAAGTTAAAATTAAAACTTGTTGCTGCAAGATTCGTCTTTCAAAAGAAAAGCCTGTAAAAATTTCAACGTGCAATGACATCACATGCTGAAATTTTTAACAGGCTTTTCTTTTCAAGATGAATCTTGCAGTAATAAGTTTTAACTTCGATGGTATAATAATAAAAGGGTAGATAATTCAAAAGTAGCAAATTTTCAATAAAATGTTGTTTAGCGTTTATTTTGTAATCTAAAATCAAGTTAATCAATACCTGTTCAATAGCTTCTTCAGTGAATGGATGCCAGTAACGCATGCCAACGTACACTTTTGCACGGACATTCTTTGCCCAAAGGGATTTCCTCAGCTCTTCAGCCTGTGGAAGACAGCATTAAAAGAGGCAGGACAAGAATTTAATCAAAGAAAGAAAGATCTTACTGCCTCTAAAATAGTAAAGTCTTTTATGAAGTCAAAATGTTAATAATGTTCCGTATCATTAGCAAGCATTTGAAACATCAGTCTCTCCACAGATTGGTTAAAAATTCAAAAGTTTACTTGAAATGGTGGGAAACAATTAACCAAAATATAGATGGACTAAAATAAACGGAAGTATACAAATTGACAATTTTAAATATTTCATGAGAGACACGATTCAGCCTCAATAATAAAAGCACAGAAGACAGCTTAACTTTTCCGGTAAGTAGCTTGGAGAATCAACATATGCAAAGCTGACTTTTTTAATAAGCTCTACCATTCTTCACCATCACCTATTGTGCTCCTCTA